GTTGTCCTCGAGGAAGGAGAATCTTTATCCACAAGAGCAATTTGCTCTCAGTGCGGAACAACGGTTAGAAACTGCCCAGGGAAACTGCACGGCGATGCTTTCGCAAATAGAGAAGAACTGAACACGCCAACTGACAATGAACAATTATTGCGATTGAAAAGAATGAGTAAATCCCCTCATTGCAAACCGTGGTGATTTAGCTCTGTAAATTACTATCTGTGAGAATTTAAAATCCTGCCAAAAACGCTAACGAGCTGGGCCCAGCGTGACAAAACATTGCAGGTAAAAGTCACATTCACGGACACAAAGAAAATCGCTTAAAATTATTCAAATCCAGGAGGCACTTTGGAGAAATAAAACAACCTAAAACCCTTAATCAGCCACAATGAAGAGCTTTACATTTCTAAAGGGGCCAAGAAAGAAAATGCTCTTGCGTCAGAGGGCAAATCATGCCTACCAGAGAAAATCAATATGCGTGTCACGACCTCTCAGTATGAATTATATTTAATAAGCGGCCAAAATTCACATTTGCTCAGTTAAAACGTTTTCCTCCAAAGCATAATCTACTCGACAGAGAAAACAATCCATTGGAACAAGCGGCATGTTTGCATGAGGTAAAAGTCGTGTGTTTCCTACCGATCGCTTTTTTAGCCAGGCGAGATAACAATGACGGTCGACCGTTGCACGGAACTTGAAGAACTCTTTGCATGAACAAACATCCGATAAATAAGGCTTTTGTCAAATCTTGTTGGTAGAACACAGAAAACATCCTTTCCCCTGAGTAGCAACTCCAAAGCTTCCCTCTGCTCCGATTTTAAAACAAACCCCAATTCTTGCGAGCAAATCCAGGCGAACAACATCTGTCAATTTACAGCGAAAGCTTTAGCAAAGTCATCACGGTATGGAACAACGTGAATGACATGTTGAAAACATTACTTGACAGCTTGGTGACAGCTTGCATCGAAATTTAGCCAATGGGAATTGCCCGTGGCTGGGAGAAGCGGGTAATTCGAACGAATATAACGTATGCAAAACGGAGGGCGCGATCCATTCAACCAAAATTCCAACCGGTCCGACCGGGAAAAGAGGACCACCTCAAAAGGTGGACCAGTTTTTCCGAAACTTTTCCGGTTGGACCGAACCGATCCATTGAGTTTTGGACCGAAATTCCCGGAAAGTTTGGTTGAATGGATCGCGCCCGGACAGTCCGTATTTTTAGCGTCTCTCCCCAGTCTCGCTCTCTGTTTTCAGCCTCATTCCAGACCTTTTGTTTGACTGCTCGCGCGTACTTGAATACGCAAAAATACGGACTGTTTTGCAGTCTAGTGTTATAGTTCATATAGCGGAAATTGAGCTATGCGCTGGTTTAATAATTTAATATTTTAGCGCTGGTGTAATATTAAACTGACAATCCAGGGTTCTGAAGCGGAACATGGAACGGCCGACAAGAGAGATGATGTTTGACTTTATAGGTAAGTTAACAATGATGCTTCAATTATATGGCAGAAAATTTATTTTCCTACAGCAGAAAATATTTGTTACGAACCACTGCAGGCTAAACAAACAAACAAACCTGTTTAAATTTAATAACAATCGGTAATGCTGGCTTGTCGGAGAAATAAACGCGTGTATTTTCCCTTCTACGTTCAAAACTTTTTAATTCCTAGAAATTTATACTTCCGTATTCAAACTTCATCTATATAAAAAAAGTAAAGCCGGGATCCCACACTGATCGTTCGCATTTTCTTGTTTCAACGCGCACATATTCAATATTGAGATTTATTCATATTCAAACATTTTGCGTTTACAAGCAAAATGCTCTGAGGTTTCTTTGGCATGGAGCATACCATGTGGTAGTGAGGGGAGGGTCACACTTTTGTCAGTCACCTAAAAGTGGGGGGTCAGGAGTTTTTTAATCAAAACGTGAGGGAGGGCCAACACTTTCTTTTGGAAAAAATACCAAAATTCCCCAGCCCTCCCCCCCCCCCAAGAAAAAACGTACCTTCCCTTAAGAAAAATGAAAATTTCTCTAATTCTCTCAACTCCCTCTTGTCTTTAAATTAGGCTATGTGTAAGGAAGGTTCGAAATTCCCCACGAAGCAGGGCTAAATGTTAGTTTATTGCTCTGGAAATATGACAGACATGTACAAAAAGGTTATCTTGACAAAATGACAGCATTTAGAAAAATACTAACTCTGAATTGCGACAGTCTACGTCTGAAATGGGGTTGTTGAACAACAGCTGGGTGAAAAAAGCTGTAACCCATTTCCAAGGTCTCCTAAGCTCCTAATAAGCTGGACCTACAAGTAGGCAGTTTCAGAAACGTACCCTCCTGAAATTTAAAGAGGCTATTTATGTTGTTAATGCCACGTATGTTGGAATTTGTGTACACCAATTCCTTCAGGACTTTTTGCAGCCACCTACAATCGGCGACAAAACTGTCGAGACACTGTACTCAAACAGGGTAACTTCAGAGAACAAAAGAATCCACACCCCTCCCTTGTCCCCTCCATTCAAAGTTGGGGTGTTTGTTGTTTTCTATAGGTAGCTCGAACAGCGGCACAACAAGTCAGCCCTTTAGGGCGAAGTGTCTCAGCTCATTTTGTCGCCGATTGTAGTTTTACAACAATACATGCAAAAATTAATAATTGTGAAAGAGGACGAATCGAAAATAGATTGCCATAAAGAAAAATTGACCAGAGAATAGTAAAGAAGCATTAAAAAAGAACACAGAAATATGGAAGTTAAAACAAAAATGTGTAAACAAAAAAAAAAAACAGAAAAAGAAAATTGGTTAAAACCAACGGAGAAAGATTAAGGCGAGGCATAGACAGTAACACACTGCCAAAAAAAAGTCGAGCAAGCGGTGCAAGCGGTTAGCTGCCTCAGAGGCGGATCCAGGGAAGGCCCCTCCCCCCTTATTTTTAGACCAAACTGAGGCCTGAAGGGCCAAAAAAAACCAATTTTTTTAAGACCGCCCCCCCACCCCCCAACCCCCCTTATCTCAGGGTCTAGATGACTGAGACCCCCCCCCCCACCCCCTCACTTACCTGAAGATCTGGATCCGCCACTGTGCATAATGGGTAAAGCTCTAAAAGCTGGTCGAAAAAAAGGCTATCGCCAACAGTCACTATCCCTTCGTGCTCATTTGTTGAAACAAAAAGGCCAAGTTAGAAAGTAGACAGATTTTAAAGTTCGTTGGTACAATTAGAGGTTTACATCTCAGGGGTAAAAGCTTTCCTCTCAGCGATGTATAATTTTCCGTATATTTTGTCCTGTTTAGCCTTGCTAACGAAAGGTGGGATCTTGTGTTTTTTTGTCCATTTTTAGCAACCATTTGGGTCTTTTCTTAGTCTTTCTAACAATATCAGTAGTTAGATCTCTAAACATCCGATACTCGGTGTCTTTGAGGCCAATGCCCAAAGAAAGAATGTCTTCTCAATCATTTTAGGGACGAAATCATGCCAGTATTGGACCCAGTTCTTCGCCAGTATCTCTTTGCTTCATTGCCAAGAAGGTAAACTCTCCGTATTTCCACCGTTCCGGCATTAACATATTCCAGCTCTTCCTCCGAGAAATTTACGAGTGCCTCCTCTGTATCTTGTCCTCTTGGGTCTCCAGAGGTGGATTCCAACATATTTGATTTTTTTTCCACACAAGTAAGATTCGAGATACAAATCTTTTGTTTTCAGGAAAAGTTCTCTTCATTTTTGGCCATATAATGGGTACTTTGATGATCAAGCTTTTTTGTTCAACATGGTTGAACTGCTAGCCTCTTTTTATTATTTTTTCTTTTGTATTTAGCTTCACTTTGTCTCCCTTCACTGGTCCTATACATGTATATCCAGATCTCAGCGAATAGCAAGGGCGACATACCCATAACGTCCTGTATAATAGATCTAGGCAGCAAATTAAATAACCAGTTTTTTACTACTTTTATTCAAATATTGCTGAAATGCTCGTACAAGCTAAATTGTACTTTATCAAGACTCAAAGGAATAATTCTTTTTTATTTCTTCCGTAGAACATGAACCAGTAACACAAAGTTAAAGTTCATTAGTTTCTAGAATGAAAACTTTATTTCCAAGGAATGGAAGTAAAACGTAAAGTGCTTAGTGCGGAGCAATAAACCATCTACAAGTATAAACGAATTTATATGCAGAATTTTCTTAACAGGCTTAAATAATTATTTAGTTTAGGTTCCTTTTTGTCAACTAAATTGCCTTTAGTTAAATTTGAAACTTAAGTACAGTTTATCATTTTTTGCCTCTCTAAGGTATTGGATCGGAGGGGAATTTCTAGGACTGGTATTGTATGGCTTCCAAAAGGAAACCAACTACAGTTTGGTACCGGAGACGCATTTTAAAGATTTATTTGTTTGTTACCGAACCGTAAAATTATCAAAAGCAGCGTCGGTCGGTTCTGTTTTAATAAATGAAATTAGGTAAATTTTATAACTCACCCAGCAGGTGAAAATTCCAAGTTTCAAAGCATAACTTGACATACCGTTTCGGAGCTTCATCTATTACGAAAATACCCCTGATAAACTTACAACTTCACTGAAGTTTGTTAGGTTGAAAATATGTCTGGTCGGGTTATAATGGATCTAGAATGTCATGATCTAAAAACTCTAATGGCGTATAGATCATTGTAACGTATACTTTACCGCATCTTTATCCAAAGAATTGATACTTCTATGTGGTTGTTTTGCGCTATCCGCAAGCTTGTACGTTACTGGATATTTCCCGTACACTGTTAACTCAATTGATCGATGTTATCCAATCCAAAACAACGCCTATTGTCTCCTTTTGTTTCGAAAGACCTTTATCGCTTATTAGCGCTGTTTTACCGCTAATTAGCCAAAGAAGGATCACTGAAAACAAACAATGTTTTTCTTACAGAAACGTTTTAGACGCGATAAAAAGTGGAGGTGGTTGTGACATATCTTAAAACTTTTCGCTTGAACTTTTTTACGTTCGCGGCGTCACCGATTTCGAGATATGACTTCGAGTCAGGGGTTCGTAAAGTTCGTGATTTTTGTTTCGTGGCTCTTAGTAACTTTTTCTTTTTCTTCGGCAGTTGAAGTTAGCATGAAAGGAAATAGCTATATTACTTATGATCTTCGTTCCGACAGCATCACGACGGAAGCAGACAGGATTACGTTTTCTTTTAAAACGATTCATCCCTTCGGATTATTTCTTCATAGCGCAGGTTCTCAAGGTGACTTAATTACGATTGAACTCGTCCATGGACGCATTAGGTGAGTTAAAAATAAAAATGCATGACTTATTTTAAGTTAATAATTCACTTATAAAAGAGACTATTTCTTTTTTTTATTTCTTTTTGTAAGACGTAGTTTGTCCACAAAGACCCGTAGCTTGCGAAGCGGAACAAAATTTATCTACTTTGGTTGATTTAATTGCATTGAATAGAGGTGAAAATTAGACAACTAAAGAAGTGTCATCCCTGTTTTCAAAAATTGATTTCTGACACAGTCTTGATTGCAAGATTTATAACAACGTTTAACTTGCAACACATCTATTCTAATCCATGATATGGCGAAATTTTGCAAGTATTGAAAAACGTTCATCCTGGTTAAGAAATAAAGTGTTTCTTTCACTCTCAGTTCTAAATGCTAATACTTCAGCTGTTTTGGCTTTGTTTATAAATGCCGATAGAAAAGCGTATTTTTAAATTAAGCGAGGAGCGATGGGCTTTGCTTCTTTTTTCACCAGTCTCCATCAGGTACATTCAGACTGAATATTCAAAGCTTCATCATGTTCCTCAAAACGTTTGACCTGATTTTATGCAAGCTATTATTATTTTTTCGCTTATGATTTCCAAGTGATAAATTAACTACTTCATAAACTATGCAAAAGCATGCACTGTGCAAAATTAATGGACAGAAAAGCAAGGATCTCCTAAAAACGGATTATTTCTCAAAAATTCAATTTCTATGATTAAATATCAAAGACATTTTTATAAGCTTCATTTTCCCAAGACTACTTCACTAAAATATACCTACCCAGAAATAATTTTAAGAGTGTAATGGCGTATGTTGAGTCAGGCCATAATTTATTGAATACGATCCTAAGCTACGTGATAATTGCGTTGTCTATTAGATAGATAGACAACAAATAAGAGTGTGCCGTTCTAACTTATGCTAACATGCTCGCTTGCCGTCACACTAAGACCTCTTTTCAACTTCGAAATCCAATTCAACTCACGCCCAATGAGAAATATCTACTAAGCCCTAGGCCGGCTTACTTTACAATTAGTTTCAGAAGCCTATCACGAACGCTAGCATGGATTCAGAACTGAATTTGTGAAAGGGGATGTCTGATGTGGGCGATAGATTTCCCAAAAGACTGCAGTATTGGAACCAAGGATAGAAACCTTATTACAGTTTTTTCTGTCGTCAGTGTATTTTAACATCGGTACTTACATGAAAAGGGTCCTTTTATTTTTGAAAAGCGGGATGTTTCAATTATATGGTAATTAATTTTTCTAAGAATACAAAAACATGCCGAGAGGTGTTTAATTATTAACATTTTACCGCGAGTGCTATAAAAGAGGTCCTAAAGACTCTTCAACCGGAAAATCAATGAGGGACGTCAGCGAATTGTTGACAACACAAAACAACCAAAACATTTTTTTTTTCACAACACTCAGAATTCCCTATTCAAAAGGAAAACATCTGTATAATTAAGCCATACCGCATAGTTTTGTTTTTACAGCAAATGATTTTTTTCTTTTTTTTTTTTTTTTTTTTTTTTTCTAATATGCAAGACATTCTCGTCTCACTGGCCTCCCTTTTTTTACATGCGCCGTGTATTACACCGGCTACAAGTAGGTAACTGGAAAAAGAAATTAATTCGCTCACGCTTTCGTGTTCACCTTCCTAATTGTAGAGACCCCCAAAAAATAACTTCCACAAATCACCTCCAGTGAAGGGACTTAACTAGCAATCGTGCATCACGTCTCAGTACCAGCTTCATTTTCGCTGGTTTGTGAATCCTAAATTAGGTGCGAGAAAACGTTGCAAAGCGAATATTAAAAAAATAAAGGCCTATCCTTATTTACTTCATGCCATGAGGGGTCTCTTTCATTTAGTGTTAATGCAAAGGGTTCTTGGAGAGTATGCCCAACTTTTTTAATATCAGTTTTATATAGAGAAATTTAAAATCAAGTATAGACCAGATTACGTCAATCAAAAAACGTCAAATTTCACCAAAACGACCAATGTTTCCTTTGACTCCCGTTTTTACGTCGAGTAAACCCAAAAAATTATTTTCAATATTTAAGCCCCTCATCGCATAATTTGAGAAGCCTGAATATCGGCGATCGTCAGATTCTAGCTTCATTCTGAAACTTTCTTTTCCTGTAAACGTTATAAATCTCACTAATCATAAGCCGCCAGACAATACCTACCTTTGCTATAGAAAAACAATTATATCAAACATTCTAGTTACATAAAGAGATATACTCACTGGAAAGCTTTGTCGTAATTTTTCATACGCAAATGATTTCTAGCCAATCTGAGGAGCGAGCGATATTTTCATATTTGACAAAAAATATACGTCCAATCAGAATTGCGAACGATGTTTTTTCATGTGTGTGGAAAATAATACGTCCAATCAAAAGACACAGAGGTAAGCTAGTCTCGCGCCAACATTCCCGCCTTTATATAGGCTCGATCCACAGGCGGCCCAGACGTAGTATGTGTCACTGAATGAATATATTAATATTCACATGCACAAATTTTAAAATGCGATGAGTCGTCGAAACTCCCATGAACTAAAATAGTCCAAAAGTCAAAATATAACAAAACAAAGTTAAGATACCTTCAACTGAACGTATCCTTGTCTTTCCTGGGCGGTTTAAGTGGCATTTTGTCGAGTTTTGCAATTGTAGGTACTATCCACTAAAGAAGAATTAAAGCTGGCTACAAAACAAACAGACCATCTCCACGCGCCTTCACACGAAGCGCTATAAATTCGAGAATAATCGACGAATCCGCTCCAAATAACCATCGGCTAATCTGCAGGTAACGTGTGCTCCTGCTTCTGGCTCGCTTGCTCCACAAAACTCATCGCAACTGCACAATAATTGCTCGCTCATCAACAACCACTGTTGACCTTTACGCTTCGATATGACCGCAAACGACCAGGTTTAGTACGCGACGTGAATATTCAAGCTTAGCGACCGCGTTCGCGCAACAATGCAGCACTTGCTATGGGAGGGATGGTACTATTGCTTCTAGGTCAATCAATCGGTAAAATAATATTGAAGCCCTTGTAATTTTTAAGAAGATCCAATTTGCCCTAGGAGCACAGAACAGATACGAATCTTATAGCGGAGCTAAAAAAAATGAGCGGCAGTGGAAAAAGTGAACAAGAACATGTACCACATTTTCTCCATAAAAAATGAAAACCAGGAAGTTTTCTGGACGTTTCACGTTGCAGTCATGCAAATCAACGGCAAGGAAATGTACAAGAAAGTGTGCTGCAATTAGACCTATTGTTGTTTTTCACAGTTCTGGTCAAGGGCATCCAACTTTTAATTTTTGACATTTCACTCACCGGGCTAGGCTATTTTTCGTAGAGAGTAAAATGGAATCCTAAAATTTTCGGATTCAAAAATGTGATGAAAGAAGGTATCTGAAAAATTATCTCCTTCGTAATACGTTAAATTGCATCTAAAATTTTCGGGAAAATAATTCTGAATTCCTCGTAATTTCGAAGACTCAAGTTCCTCTAGAATGGCCGAACACTGAGATGCAAATTTTATAGCGCCACTTAGAATGCATTTCTATAGAGCTAAAAGTACTTTATGAATAGCCACAAAAGTGTTTTCAATTGAAAGTATTTGAGGAAACAGTCGTTGGGTGGCCCTGTCTCGTTGCCTTCTCCGCTTAGCATTACACGATATATTTTATATTTAGTATGAGCAAACTATAAATCATTAGCTTCGCTTTTAGCCCTCCTAAATTTATGTAAGCGCTGTTTAGAATGCATTTTTCAGTCAAAAGTACTCTGGACAGCCTTAAATGTGTTTTCAATGCATTTAGGGGTAAATCATCGTTGGGTGCCCCTGAGTTTTGAGAATAATAATAATAATAATAATAATAATAATAAAAGATATCGCGCACATAAATTTTACTTTACGATATCTTCAGCTGTATCTTCTATTCAGATGCATAGCGGGGGCCAGATTTTGCCTTTTTCCTGGGCGGAAAATTCTCGTCCTCCTTCACCAGTTTGGACAACATATTATGGAGAAAGACGTTGTTAATCTAAGCAAATAAGTCTGGTAGAGTCAAAAACCTATGCAAGCGGCTGGACTAACAATGTGACAGCAGCTGAGACAGCGAACGTTAGAAGAATTCGAACTTGAAAACCAGGGCTGTCCTGTTGAAAACTTACGGACGGTCTCGCGATCGCCTTTTGTTTTCTGGTCAAAACTAACGCAGCGAACCTTCGGTCAGTCGATTGACCTAGAAGCAATAGTACCATCCCTCCCATAGCAAGTGCTGCATTGTTGCGCGAACGCGGTCGCTAAGCTTGAATATTCACGTCGCGTATTAAACCTGGTCGTTTGCGGTCATATCGAAGCGTAAAGGTCAACAGTGGTTGTTGATGAGCGAGCAATTATTGTGCAGTTGCGATGGGTTTTGTGGAGCAAGCGAGCCAGAAGCAGGAGCACACGTTACCTGCAGATTAGCCGATGGTTATTTGGAGCGGATTCGTCGATTATTCTCGAATTTATAGCGCTTCGTGTGAAGGCGCGTGGAGATGGTCTGTTTGTTTTGTAGCCAGCCTTTAATTCTTCTTTAGTGGATAGTACCTACAATTGCAAAACTCAACAAAATGCCACTTAAACCGCCCAGGAAAGACAAAGATACGTTCAGTTGAAGGTATCTTAACTTTGTTTTGTTATATTTTGACTTTTGGACTATTTTAGTTCATGGGAGTTTCGACGACTCATCGCATTAATTTGTCCGTGTGAATATTAATATATTCATTCAGTGACACATACTACGTCTGGGCCGCCTGTGCTCGATCTTGCAGCTTGCTTTGAGTGCTGAGACTATACAGTAGAGTGTTTTCAACGCGAAAAACATCTCGGAAATAGGAGTGGAAGGTTTGGTATATTTCACTATCAATGAAGGAAATTGTAGAGTACCAAAAAAAACAACAACAACAACTGCAGAAGGGGAAAAAAGAGAACGAGACGTATTAAGCTTGGAAAGATCTGAAATAAAAGGTTGGCAGATTGATGCATATCTCAGTATGTAAATAATAAACAAAATACCACATGGAAAATGCTTTGAACGGTATTTACGCACTCGTTGTTTTTGAATCAGAAACCTCACTCGTTCGCCGTGCTCATTCGTTTGCTGTGCTCGATTTCTGATACATCAACAGCTCGTGCGTAAATGCCGTACGTGCGCACTTTCCATGAAGTATTTCACATAAATTTCACGTATACCGGGTTAAGGTTTTTCTGCATGCTGTTTTTTCAGACCGATTCTGTGTGTCTGGATGCTGGATGAAATACTGCGTGTTGTGTTATCTCTAGTAGAATATACTGCGAGCAAGCTCCCCATTTGGGGGATATCGTGAAAAGTCACGCACACGCGCAAGTGGCACGCTTACGCAGGCAAGCGTGCCGCAAGCGTGAGAGAGACACAAGAGTAAGAGGCGCCCAAATGAAGAACTTGCTTGCAAGCTTCTTATAGCTTGACTTCTCTCTTTACCTCCTTAGACTCACCATGGACCTTGGCAGCACAAAACGTACTTCTGTCATTCTCGGAAACAACCTCTCGGACAACAAATGGCACGAAATCAAAGTCCATCGAAACCAAAAAATTGTGGATCTTGCAATTGACAAACTCAAACATCGAACAACGGTACCAGGTGACAATGTGCGCCTCGACCTTGACACCACCTTATATGTTGGGGGCCTGGAAGAGACTGCCTCGGATTACGATGACTCTTTAACTACACCGAATTTTAATGGCTGTATGAAAATTTTGTACTTCAATCATAACGATATTTTCTACGGCGTTGAGGTGGAGCATCCTGGTTACAAGAAGCATGGCGATGTACGATTTAATTGTTCATCTGTCGAATACGCTCCTGTAAATTTCCCATCGCCAGATAGTTACTTGAAAGTTACAAGTCGTTCCCCAAAAACCTTCAAAGTTGATCTAAGCTTTCGTACCTATGAAGGCGATGGCGTTTTAGTTTATAAATTAAACAAAGTCTCCAAGATGTACCTCATGCTTATTTCGGGAAATCTGGAACTACAAATTCAAAAGGGAAGTAATCCACCAATAAGAATTAACAGCGTCGATGAAACCTTGAACGACGGAAAATGGCACGAGGTCATCGCTGGAGTAACAAGCGAAGAAATATGGTTTCAATTGGATAAAAACGCGAAGGTACGCCATGAAAATCCTGAGTTGTCGAGTATCGGTGATTTTAGAAATGGCGTTTTTATTGGTTTCGGAACACAAAAAACAGGCTTCGTTGGATGTATGAACCGGATTACCATTAATGGCAGTCCTGTGATATGGAGCACCTTGAAAGATTCTCAAAAGAACGGTGCGGTAGACAATGAGTGCCGCACGTCTTCAAAGTGCTTTCCTAGTCCCTGTAAAAACCAAGGCAAGTGCTCGCAGACGTGGAAATCTTTCAAGTGCGATTGTAAGGGAACATTTTATGAAGGAGAACGTTGTGAAGTTCCGCTATACCGCGCTACCTGCCAAGGATACAAGGAACTGGGTATGACCCAGGATGCGTACTGTAAAGTGGATCCTGACGGAACTGGACCTCTAGGAGCCTTGGATGTGTTATGCAATATGACGACTCCCGAACAAGCCATGACGGTAATAAAACACGACAAGGAGGGTAAACGTGACGTAACTTTAGGCGCTTTAAGCCTGCCGGGTCATTATTATCAAACTATTACTTATCAAAGCAACATGAAAAGTGTGCTTGCGCTAATCAAGCGCAGTGTGAGCTGCCGACAGTTTATTAGCTTTCAGTGTCACAATTCCAAACTTCTCAATTCGCCGCGGGGTCCTGAGCATGTGCAGTGGAAGTCCAGTAACGGTAGCTTACAAAACAACTGGGGAGGCGCGCCATCTGGAAGTGGAAAATGCGCATGCGGAAAGAGCAATTCTTGTGATGACCCTTCTAAGTACTGTAACTGTGACGCTGATAGGAAAAATGGACTACGAGAAGATTATGGTGAGTTATAACCGCAACCCGAGCACTACATATTTAAAACAAGCTCCTTATATCAGCGCCCAAAAAATTTCGCAGGGATGGCTAGAAAGACGGGTATTTACTTTCGGTGATTTTTTCTGACGAGCGCCACCGTGGTTCCAAAGCGACGAAGATATCGGGCATTCAGAGATTTGGTGTCATCGGAAAGCACTAAAACTTTGCGACTCAATTTTTATCTGCCCGCGTCAAATACACTTAGCCTCGTTCCTTTGGTTACTTTCACGGCAGAAAATACAGAACTATATCGTTAAGTGTCTACTCTCGTCGCACGGCAAATCCCCAATAAAATGTGTGAACAGATGATTTCAGGGTGTACAAACCACTCTAACCGCGTGCATCTCACGCAGAGCTGTACAGTAAGTGTAGATGCTTCTTTCTTTGTAATGATAGTTAGACGATACGGCGCCATTAAGGATTTTCTATTCATTACTTAACCTCCCAGCTCTGTAGTCATTCTTATATCTTCTCACCAACTTAATAATTTGAATGACAAGTGTTATATGTATCTTGTTCACAGGGTATTTAACAGATAAATCATTATTACCAGTGACTATGATACAGTTTTCCGAAGACGCGGCGAACTCCTTTTTCACTCTCGGACCATTAGAATGCTTCGGTTCCTCGGATCAGACCTCTGGTCAGGTGACCAGAGCCAGCTTTGTCTCCTCTGTATGCAAGTTAGTCAATCCACCTCCCACAGTCGATACCACTACAGCGACAAGCGTGCCCACCACTTCCCAACAGCGCACAGTCACGATTCCTCGAGCAAGGGAAACATCCACTGCCACGTTCACAACAACTACAGGTAAATTTACAAATATTGAACTTGCCAAACATCACGTGACCTTGACGACTACTATCGCAACCGATAAAAACTCAACTTTGGTGACATCAGTGATTAGTCACGAAGCCAAGAATGATGGCGTGACAGTTCATTCTTCCATTACTACAGGTAAGAGTGGTGTGACGGTCCATTCGAGCATCACGACTCAAGGCGAGACTGTCACACTTCCTCCCGTGACAACTGCTCGACCCAGGCCTCCTAGAGTGGTGGTGATTACCAATGGAAGCGTTTCTTACGTCACTCACGTCAAGGGAGGGATAGAGTACGATGCCAGATTTATAATCTTGATCACTTCTGCTGTGCTCGCCTTCATTTTGCTCATTTGGGTGATAATATTCGTTTTCCTCAAGCGTTCGGGCCGCAGCTACGTTTGGTGCATTTCCTGTAGGAGCTGCACAAGAAGGAAAAATATCCCGGATATTGAGGTGTACCGTCACTCCATCCGCACTGATTCCCCGGATGAGCTGACGTTGGATGACATGAATCATGACGCGGGGGAGGTTGGGAACTACAAAATAACCAACGGACAAACGGTATACCATTCAGTTCGAGACTCGCATGTTAGGAAATACGTATCCTTCTCTGCTTCAACTTCCAAACTGTAAATTTTTGGAGAAAGGTAATCATTTTTTAATTACTTAGATGCTAACACGGTTTTTTTTCATTACCAGTAAACCTATTTCCAATGTTGTTAGAATATATTACGCCAATGAAACAAAAAAAAAAATAATAACCTGGAGCGGACAAGTTGAACAAAACAGAGAAAAAGTTTCCCTTGACGTCATCCATGTGTCTGTTATCTGATAGTTTGTGGACACTGACCAATCACAGCGTGCGTAATATTCACGCCATTTTATAATACTCTCTGGTTTTGTTTTATTTCCGAATCTTCTCATCCTTTTTATTTTTGATTTTTTTCATAGGTCCCTTGTTTGTCAGAGATTAGATGGTCATTATGATCAATACAGAATTTTGTCTTAATTCATTAGCTACACGTGGTCGCTCTCTCACTGGTGAAAGAAGAATGTGTTGCATACTGTAATGTAAACCTTGTGCAACAATATTTATAACTTCTATTTCAAAAAGATCGTAGACACTAGAGTTCTAGCAAGAATAAAGATTTTACATTGAAAGAACAACTTTAGTTGCCTTTGCAGTAGTACCCCTATATTTTGATACGCTTGGTACTTTTTTGGGTTATGGGTTAACGAACAGTGAACGCGCTATACATTATTTGAACTGCGGGGCAAAATATTTGACAAACAAAAGATCCTCGCAACTTAAAAGCAGCTGCGAAAAGAAAGCCTAAAAATAAATAAATAAAAGGTTGTCTTTTCACAAGGCTTGAATTGCGTACATAACCGCGATGATCTTTCAGAGTGGTTACCAGGTCATTGAAAGTAACGTACATGAAGACTTTTAAATCTTCATGATCGTAATTAGATTCTTCAATTTTAAAACACGAAAAAGAAGTTTTGCAATTCTTAGACAACCAAGCATCAAGAGCCAAATCATACAAGTTTAGGCGCGCTTAAGAGCAGCCAATTGGAATTTCTGTTGACCGTCTTTTTGACAAACATCAAGGTGAGTATTAAAGGGATGTTCAAATATCATTCGCCCCATTAATCCAATGGAATCCAAGAGGGTCTTGGATTCTGGATTCTACGCCTTGGATTCCGGATTCCAGGCACTTGATTCCGATCTCTTTTTAGTGGAACTTGGATTCTGGATTCCAATCCTTAGTAGGATTCCTGATTCCTTGAGCTGTATTCCGGAATCCAAAGTCCGGGATTCCGGATTCCATAAGCAAAATTTTCTCGGATTCCGGATTCCAAAAGGATCTTACTACAGTTAAACCCCGTTAAAACGAACGATGAGGATGAGGGGGCCATAAAAAGTTGCCGTAATCATGGGTGTCCGTATTAAGCGGGTTGAATTTAGAGAAAAAGTAAGCGCTTTATTTACCCACGGACAAAGGAGACTGTCCGTAGTAATTGGGTGTCCATAAAGCGTGGTTTGACTGTCTCTAGCTAAGAGGTGTACGCAAGATAAAATTGGTTTCGCTTCATTGATTGACCGTGTAGTCGTCTATGCAACTCCACAGTAACAAGATTACTCATTATAGGATAAAACTGTATTATTACGATTACGGCAAAAGGCAAAAGTAAATTTGTACCACGTGACCAAGTTTTCCACCTGTCTGTCGTTTACTGTTCATTATAACTACACGAAAATCGGTAGATTCAAGCCAATTTATGTAAGAATAAGAAATGTTTTATGCTGTTTTTTTTTGCTAATTTCTCTACTTAAAATTTCTAAATTTGAATCTCAAGTTTGGCGTAAACACGAGGCGTAATCTCTCTATTGTTTCAATACATGTTTGAGAATTTTTGGGCGATTCTTTTAATGTAAAAAAAGGGGGAGTGTTTAAAATTTTGGAAAACTGGAAAATATTGGGTTGTTGAAAATTGAAATATGAAGGGAATAATCAGTTGGCAAATACAAGTGTATCAGATAGTCCATCACCACAACAAAGTGCCTCTGAGCTCGTTAGCGGACTAATTGGTTGCAATGATCTTTATACCCTTTACAACCCTTTTTTCTTTCATTCCCAAATCAACCCCATTTCCCCTAGAACAGACAGAGAGAGAGAGAGAAAGAGAGAGACTGCCCCCTTAAACACACTACAGTGACAGATTCTCTTGACGGTGACTCGAAAGGGGTTTTTCAGGGACAACACCTCCCAAGTTTAAGCATAAACTACGTTGCCAATTTAGAAAAACAACCCACCACAACAGCAATAGATAAACTAAAAAATTGTTATGATCAGGATTACAACGACGTCGGATTTGTCATATAAACGAAATGACGCCATTACCTGTTTTACAGCTCCGATTTCATTGTAACCCTGATCATAATAAATTTTTATCTTTATCCAATACACAGCTGTGGTATGTAAATGGTATCTGTTATCTTTCCAAATTTTTGTTCATAGCGACGTAGTTTATGCTCAATGACTTGGGAGGTACTGACCCTAAAAAACCCTATCGAGCCATCTTAACAACGTAGAATTATCTATCCTTTCTCGGATTACCACTGCATTCACACATCCGCCAAAGAGGTCAGTTCTGAGTTCATCAGAAGCTTTTTATAATTCAAAAAAATACCCATTTATAATAGATCCTCACAATAGTATTTTCACTTTTCATTGTAACAACTGCGCATTGTATTTTAGCTAGAATACTGGCACTAGGTATAAAAATAGACTTCTCAAACTGCATATAAATTACATGAAGTAAGTAATTTATCCATAAACTAAATAAACTTATTATTACAGCTTACAAAAATGTATGTTTTGTCGTGGCGAATAGCATCTGTTTGAGGGCAAAGCATTGAATATACTCTGCAACACGTGTCACAATATAATATGGGCTTCAGAACAACCGCTTTTGTATCCAATGTCCTGTCGTCCTCAAACAGATAAACAGCGATCTAAGATTACAGCAACCTGTATTAACAAAATATAGCGTGCGATCTTGCAAGTTCATCAAAACAATGAGAATGCAATCATTGATACAGCTGTACAGCGTATGTTCCCGGAACTAGACTTTTTTCAAATCTCAAGAACTGTTCTCGGTAGAATCCAGAGGAGAAGACCAACTGCTTACATTTTTGAAAATATAGATAGAGTTAGCAGAAAAAAAAAAACAAAAACAACAACAAAAACTTCGCCAGTGTTAGCGCAAAAGATTCATGTTGGGATATCTGGGAGAATTACTAAAACTCGACAACCAACAATAACCTGCTACCACGATAAATATTATTTTCTTCGAGAATAATTTTCCAAAAATAAATAAGCTGATATTTTAAAAATGTACCTGATTCAACGTCTGTATTCTACTCGCCTACCATCCGTCCTCATTGACGGAATAGATTCTACGTAAAAGGCAAAATTGTGATTTTCTATTCATTTTTAGTGATTTGCTTATTATGCTATAACAAGTTTTTTTTTAAGACTGACGAAGTTTTCCCAAGACTATACCGAGGGTATATTATTATTGCATTTTATTCTCATGGAAAAATATTATAAACTGAATAGTGGCTTATTTATGATAAATAATCTTATCCAATAAAATCTTTGCAAAATGCACTTTGCGTAACAAAGAATAAAGCTTATGTAGCAACAATATATTTATTCTCCTGGTCTAATTTATATAAATCCATAATTTATGTTTAAAGAAAATTAATCATATAATACCTTTTAGATCTAACTTTGCCGGTTTGCATCTATTAAGAAACTGATAATCTAGATCTGTCTGTAAGATCACCAAAGGCAAAGTTAAGGCATTTTCAAAAGGTCCAAATACGTTTTCGACATTCGAAGGTAAGGGTATGGATCTGTCTTCCTTATTTCACGCCCCACCCACATGTATCCATTTTGGTCACGATGTTTGATGTCAGTAAATGCGCATAACTGATGGTGGCATTTTCTGTCAACATTGCGTTTTCGTGTGGACGGGCAAAAACGATTAAAAACGCAACGTGTGGATAAGGATACGGACTTTTTTAAAAAATGGAGAAAAAAATCTCGGCTTTAGAATTTTTAAGTAACGCAGCAAATAAAGGACGTCTCCAATGGCCAAGCAAATTTGGCAGGTAAAATGAAATCAAAACCGTAGTGGAGCATCATTTCGTTTCAACGACATATATGTAACTGCCCTAAAAGCGATTGCTCAATATGTAACTAATAAACAGTTGTATGAAACACCATCATTTCAGTAGTAAAATCTTGTGAACGTGTGATTGAGCCACATCACATTCTTTTTTAACGAAGCTGAAAATATTTCCTTTCAAGAAGGAAAATTATTTTAAGCTTTGTTTATGTCCTTTCAAGGATAAAAAGAGATCATATGCATCCCTACTTTAGGCTAGAAAAAACATTTATATAGCGTAACCCATCAGCGATTACCTGTTCAGACAATTTTCTACTATTGCCTCTTGTATTTCGTCCATTTTATCAGCGTCTGTGGTGAGCGATATAGAAACATGAGCTTGGCAAATAAATCTTCCTCAAGTTCCAGTTCTTTGCTTTCCCTCACCATGAAGATATCCAGGCACAATTTAAGGACTTTATCAACGTTTGGCATCTCGTCAAACATGATTCGGTAAGAAATCGAAGTAAAGAACAAGCGGACAAACTTGCCAACCAACCAAACGAAACCCACATATAGTCCAATTATTCTGCAACACAAATGGATTACAAAACTCAGATACGTCTACAATATGCGTCTTTTCAGCAGGAGTTGTAACGTCACGAAGACTCATCCAAAAGACTTTCGTGATCCCCTCCCCCAATCTTTCGCGGCTCACTCGAAAAATTTTGCTCGCTGTCTAAGGCAGCGAATGTTGTCGTTGTCGAAGTAAAAGCAGGTAACACAAAACGGGGGTGGGGAGGGGGGAGCAAAACAAATATATAGATTAATTTTATCAGTTTAAAGATCGAAGGTGCCCAAATAGTTTTTGGTGTGGTAGATTGACTTGACTAAGAAATATTCTACGCGATGCTTTCTCAAGGAAATATTCCATCCTTTGCGCAAATATTGGAGCGAGTAAGATATCCTTTGAAACGAGAGATAGCGGTTCCAATTTTGCCTTTCCAATGCTTTTCAGTGGATATTGCAAAAATATAATTGACCACGTATTATTGTGTTGCATGCTATTCACTATGACCAAGAAGGTGTGGCTGCAATTTCACTAACTGTTTAAAATCAGTAAATTCAGCCATAGGCCTCTTTTAAACGTCGCGTAACTGCCGTTCTAAGCTGGCTCGACTTAGCACGACTTGGTTTTAGAAGTTGAATTTAATACGTCACTCGGTTGAGAAGCTAGCGTGGAGACGCCCACGCTAGCTTCTCAACCGAGTGACGTATCATCAGGTATTCCTAATCAAAACGTTGATTCATTTGAAAGTACAATTCTCTCTGATTTTCTTCCTTCTGGTCGTGGTTTTAAAATTGCAGGTTTAAACATTAATAGTCTTACAAAGCATATTGATGAACTAAGAATTCTCCTTGCCGATCGCTCCATTGATATTCTCTCAATTAATGAAACTAAACTTGATGACTCTATCAATAGTTGTGAGGTCCAAATACCAGGCTATGAATTTATTCGTCGTGATAGAAACAGACAAGGAGGAGGAGTAGGTTTTATATAAAACCTCGATTAATTTTGGAGTTCGCTCTGATTTGAATGCACCCAGTCTTGAAAATTTATGTATAGAGATTCGGAAACCAAACTCCAGGCCATTTCTGATAGCCACTTGGTACAGACCTCCTTGCTCCTCAATTGATTTATTTTTTACATTACGAATCATTTCTTGAGAAATTAGATTCCCTCGGCCTAGAATATTATCTGCTAGGTGATTTAAACTGTAACCTGGCCTCTGCACAATATGATTTAAATACTCGACGCTTATGTGAAATTTCTGATTTATTTGGGCTTCAACAGCTTATAACTGAACCTACTCGCATAACGGAATCCTCTTCAACATTAATTGATTTAATTTATACAAACTATACTGACAGGGTAGTCTGTTCCGGAGTCTCTCATATTGGTATCAGCGATCATAGCCTTATTTACGTTTATAGGAAATTATCTCTCACTTTTCCTTCAAAAGGGCACTCAACCATTTCTTATAGAAATTTCCAAAATTTTAATAGAGAGAGTTTTCGTAACGATATCGCTCTGCAAGACTGGTCCTGTAATGTTTCTGAAGATCCAAATGTTTTGTGGACTGACTGGAAAACGAAGTTTTTGGATATTGTTAATATTCATGCGCCACTCCGAACTAGACGTACTAGAACAAATAAAGCACCCTGGATCAATTCAGAATTAAAGAAAGGCATGCGTGATCGTGATGCTGCCAAAAGAAAAGCAATTACATCGAATGATCCACACGATTGGAAAAGGTACAAAAAGTTGCGAAATATAATAAACAATGACATCAAAATTTCTAAAGCATCTTATTATTCTAATGCATTTATTCAATCTAAGGGTAATCCTCGAAAAACGTGGCAAACCTTTAATGAGCTTACATCCCGTCGTGTGAATAATACAACGGTGAAAGAACTGAAATTGAATGATACCATTATCTCTAATTCTAGTGAGCTTTCTGATGCTTTTAATGACCATTTTTCAACAATTGGGCCCAGACTTGCTAATGAAATACCTCTAACTGCTGAAAATAATTCAAGTTATATCAATAATATAAAGGTAAATAACAACAATTTCAGCTTCTCCTCGACTAACTGCAGCATTGTTTTCTCACATCTAAACAAATTATGTAGATCTAAAGCAACTGGTCTTGATAATATTTCTGCTAAAATTGTACGTGAATGTGCTGATCTTATTTCAGTTTCACTATGTGATCTCTTTAATAAATCTTTAGTCTCTGGTATATTTCCTGATGATTGGAAATGTGCTAGAGTTACTCCGTTGTTCAAGGAAGGTGAGCCATCTGATCTGAATAATTATCGACCTATTTCAGTCATTTCCGTTATAGCTAAAGTGTTTGAAAGGATTGTTTATGATCAGTTGTATAACTCTTTGACCAATGAAGATATCATTTCTAATCATCAATCGGGTTTTCGCTCGTTACACTCAACTGCAACTGCCCTTCTGGAAGCTACGGATAATTGGGCCTTTAATATTGATCGTGGCAATGTTAATGCTGTGGTTTTCCTCGATTTAAAAAAAGGCTTTCGACACCGTTGACCACGATATCCTTCTAGCTAAAATGAACCTTTACGGAATACAAGGTACAGCTCTTGATTGGTTTAGGTCGTATTTAACTAATCGTACACAACGATGTCTTGTTAACGGTTCTCTTTCTAGAATCTGCTCTCTTAAATGTGGGGTACCGCAAGGAACAATCCTTGGCCCTTTTATTTCTTATTTATATTAATGACTTGCCAAACTGCCTTACTTCGTGCCAGCCTAGAATGTATGCCGATGACACCCACATTACTTATGCTGGCGTTGATGTGAATTCAATACAGTTAACTCTGAGTCACGATTTAGATAACCTAAACAAATGGCTTATTTCCAATAAACTTACTTTGAACACTTCTAAAACTGAATTCATGCTAATTGGCTCCAGACAAAAATTGAGTACTTTGTCGAACCCACTTGAGCTCTCGATTAATAATGTTCCGATAGAACACGTTTCCTCTGTCAAATCGCTTGGAATATTTATTGATGAAAATCTACGGTGGCAAACACACATTGATAAATTATCTAAAAGGTCGCTTCCGGAATTGGAGCAATAAAAAGAATTAGACCTTTTGTCCCTCCACCTACCCTTCACTATATATACAACTCACTAATTCAATCTCATTTCGATTATTGCAATCTTGTCTGGGGTAATTGTGGTAAAACATTATTTGACAGGCTACAGAAGCTTCAGAACCGTGCCGCTCGCGTTTTAACCTTCTCTAGCTATGATGCTGATGCTAGCCGTTTGATTAGACAACTCGATTGGAAAGACTTGAGCACTCAATTTCAAATACAGAAATCCATAATGGTATACAAGTCTTTAAATGGCCTTGTTCCTGAATATTTATCATCTAAGTTTGTTAAACGAAATGAAACGCGTTACTCCCTGAGGGACTCTGTTAACAAACTATTTGTCCCATTTCCACGAACTAATTTCATGAAAAACAGCTTTACTTATAGCGGAGCAGTTCTCTGGAACAGCCTACCCTGTCATGTGAGAGAAGCCGAATCTCTTAGTCAATTTAAAAGATTAGTTAATGTTCATTTTTAATGTTATACACGGCATTCATGAAAAACAGGTTTTAGTTAGATTAGTTGTAGTCAGGTTTTGAATTTTGTTTAGGATAGTTAGGTTATTTTTAATTTTTTTTAAATTCCTGATGGATTTTACCGTGTTTAAATAAAGATTGACTTGACTTGACTTGAAATTCAGCCATAGGCCTCTTTTAAACGTCGCGTAACTGCCGTTCTAAGCTGGCTCGACTTAGCACGACTTGGTTTTAGAAGTTGAATTTAAGTCAGTCGAATAAAATAGCTGTTGGGGAAAACAAAACTTAAAAATGGTGAACTTTTTAATGTATTATAATGTACTTATAATTTATAAATTGACTTCAGCACGGCAGCAGCATGACGTTTGAAACAGGTCATAGTTCTGTTGAAACACACCAAAACAACGTACCCTGTACTTGTGAAGAACGAGAAGTGGAGAGGCGGAACCAGGTCGTTAAACGTGATCATTTCAAGCACGTTATCTTTGGTGCCAAAAAGTGGGTCAGGCTCCTTCTGCGTCAACTCCCACCAATCAAAGCTTGCTTTAGAGCGCATGCGCAGGCGACAAGTCACATAGTTGGAGTAGTCTTTACTTAAGACCTGGGTAACCGAGCCACTTGCTGGGACGCGCACGAAGCTTGGGAACAAGTCTTTAATTACGCTTTAAAAAAGGAGAAATCAATGGATTATTTCTCTGAAAAAGTAAGTCACGTCGACGTCCTCGGTTTTTCTTCATAAAGTGATAAAAAAAAAAAGAAAAAGAAAAGAAAGATAGATAGAGGAAGAACAAATAACAACATCTCTCCACGGATATAACCATGCAAGCCACATAACAACAGGCTAGTTTTCTGGTGAATACCTAAGGATAATTCTTCTAAAACAAGGACTTCAAAAATCGGGCACCGGGTCACTAAGAGCGATAAACGGCGGGGAAAATAGCCACCTAGCGCGCGTTTCTCAAAAATCAGGAAGAAATGTATTTTAAGAGCGCAAAGTTCATTTGCAGAAATATGCCGCAAAGATATAGACACTGAGGACTAAGTCTCAGGCAAAGACGGTAATGGCCACATTTACCAACTTATTTACAACCCCGCGTTTTTTTGGCACGCAACTGTGGCCATTACTGTCTTTGTCCCGGATTTACTCTTCAGTTTTGACAACTTTGCCACATATTTGCCGAAAGCAAATTTGTGAAAATCCATTTTTTGTCCAATGTGTGAAGCTTGGAAATAAACGGTAAACTGGGTTGTTAACGATCATGAAGTGAATATGACTCGCGAAAATTGTCCTTTTGTGCGAGGAATTATTTAAGTTGTCCGTTTTTAGAGGAATATTTATTACTAATACCGAGACTTGGGGGCAGCGGGAAGGGAAGGAGGGAGGGAGGGAGGGAAGGGAGGAAGGCAGGGAGAAAGGGAGGGGTGGAGATAGGTTACTTACACAGGCTCATCGCTTGTGGAGTTTCCTTCCAGCATGTCCGCCAGCTGAGATTTAGTAGCATTATCAAGCAGAACTTGGGTATCACCAGATATAGTTTCTTGCGCAAGTGCCGTTTTAGGTTCCCTGAATAAGCGATACAGCATACCTTAACACTGAACAGTACAAAAAATAGTCCCCTCAAAGGACATGACCTTACTGACAATGAAAAGTATTTCGATAACAATAAGTAAAGCAGTCGAACTAGGGCATGTTATTCTTACGTATGTTTGCAATGAGTTATCTGTGGAAACGTATAATATGTCGTGACACATCGCAATAAGTGACAACGAACCGAATGTCCATCAAAAACCAAGTGATGCAAAACAAAACCACTGGACACGGCAGTCCCGTTGTGAAGCGACTTCTAATCTGCACGTACACTTTTCACAAACGTGATACAAGTCTTTTAGCAGGTAAGATTGGTTCGGCGGCCACAGACAAAATTTTTTCCTTTTACAGATACAGGGACTACTCGTCAGAAAAAAAAGCGATAAGAGGTACCTACGGCTCGTAAGGTTAAGCGTTAACGCCTTTCGCTGCAAGAACAATAGAAATGGACTAAAGGATGGACTTACACAGGCTTGACACAGTGCTATAAGCCAGTAAGCACAAAAAAGAACTTTGAGTTAAATCTTGCGTTTCATGTTTGGAGGACACATTTTTGCAATTGTACAGTACACTTTTTTTTTCTATCTTAAATCTGTAGAACTTATTAGGGTACTCTGCAACATTATGATATTCCCCACACACACACACACAAACACACACGCGGCTATTTCGGGTGAATCTCGAAAGAGTGCCAAAGAAATAATATAACGTCTTCTTCTCTAAGTATTTACCTGGTAAATTCATAACTAAATCGCATGGTCACATTGTTGTCCGAGAGGGACTTGGTCAAAAGATCCCGTGAAGGAGGGCTTATTGTCCAAATGGAGCTTGAGTTCCCCACAATCTTCACTTGTAACACGGTGTTTCTGCCTTTGTAGGTCTGAAAGAACGACTCGATCTGAAATTACGAAAAAAGAGCATTTCAAGTCCACAAAAGTCTCAACAATAATTTCCTTAAAACTTTCATTTCCGGAAGTGACCTAAGTCAAAATAAGACAAAAATTTCCGGATCATTATACGTTTCTAGGAGGCTGCCCATCCATCCCTCCCCTAAGCCAACATTAACACTTACTTGTCACTTAACGCAAAATGTTGGCTTAGGGGAGGGGTAGGTGGGCAGTTTCCAAGAAATGTATAAGTTTCCAATTTCGTTTTGTAAAAAGGTGGGAAACAAAAAGGAATGTGTGAAACAAAGAAGCCTTCAGCCTTTGCCTGAAGAAGAGAATTATATAGACTGTCATCTGGAGTACCCTTCTGTATTGAGCCGAATCGTGGACCTTGAAGAAAGAGGACACGAGGAGGCGAGAAAGCTGTGTGATGTGGCTTTGGATAAAGGCCTTAAACATTTCATGGTCTGACAAAGTCTATAACGAAGAAGTATTAACGCGCCCATTCAAAAACGTCGATCGTGAAAATGTAAATAAGTGAAAAATGACGTTAATTTAGTGTCAATCAAGAAATCCCCTGGGTATATCCCTTTCCTGGTTATTGTTCCTGCTCAGACATCCGCAACATTTGCCTATTCTTCGATGAAGAATAGAACTTTACGCGACTAACAATAGCTCAGTCTGTTTAAAAACTGTCTAAATTTACTCCGAATTAGCATGTGACTTTTTGCTGTTAAACGCTTCAAAATTGAAAAATCCTCGATGATTGTTGTTGATTTTGCCGTAAATAATTCAATGCACTGACTTAAAATGAATTTTTACCTTTTACAAACTTCTTGGTGTTCGAATCGATCGACGAAATATGAGCGCAACCGACGCGTTAACAGTTTGTTTACATTTTGTCACGGGTTTTGGATAATATTATAAACCTTAAAATTTACGGGCAAATTCGACGAAAAAGTACTCTCACTTACATTCTTCATTTAAGATATTGATTTTAGCAAAGTATAAGGCAAAATTAAGAGCGATACTTTCTTTAGAACCCTATAACTACATATTTAACGGCCAAACCTAAACAGCGATCTAATCCGTCTCTTGAAAACAACTACAATACCGCTTCTGATAATAATATTTATAAACGCTGCAAACATTTTTATTCAATCTTATCGAGTGATTTTCGTGAAGATGAGTTTTTAAGTGAAGAATACTTTGGTTTCGGATTAGCTTTAACTGTTTTGCCATCAAAACGATTCGCACGAGACTACCGAATTCGCGAGGGTTTTATGTTAGTGCACGAGGAAGAAAAATGCTTCTCTTTGCATAAACTTGAAGCACTGACAAAGACATTCCAACACTTAAAACAATGGCAACCTACTTCTACTGTTTCTGCATTGTCTCTTGAAAGTGTGAGAATAGTTAACCGCTATGAAGTTCATAAGAGACCGAAAACGACGGTAGTCTTTGAAACTTCGTTTTTGCGCGCAAAGCCTAATGGGTACCCCACTTTTCACGGGCGACATTTTTCAATGGGCGCGTTTCTGTAATGCGTGTCGGTGAGGACAGGGAAATCATATTTGTTATCAGCAGAAGACATAGAGTCTGGCTTGGTCATACCCTACGTCATGGTGGTCTTGTACCATTAGTCATCGAGGGGAGAATAATAGGCAAGAGGCCACCTGGTAGACCTCGAGCCCTTAAATAGTGGTCAAGAGGCGCGCCTTAGATGGGAAACTATAAAGAAGGACCTGCCTGTGGCGGGCACAACACACACTCACACATACTGAGTGACGGAGTGAACGTACTGGCAAAAAGGTTTCGTTTGAATCAGGGTCGATAGGATTTTGTCCACAGACTCAAGTAAGAGGCACCTTACAAGACTCAATCATTCTCTCTGGGAATGTTGAGATAAACCAGCTGCCATTAACCAGGAGTTAGCAAATCTCATACTAGACCTACAACACAGCCTTTTCATAAACCAGTCTACTTTTAGAAACATTTTGGAGCATTTTCCCCTAAAATAGAAACTCCTCGCCGTAATAGTGCCCATCCGAAGCTTTAACTTTTATAAAACTGCTTTGGGTGATACAGGTTAGTTAACTACACATGATAGACATACAAGTAATGACACATAATGAACAAAATTACCCTTTTTGTTACACACACCCAGTTTACAGATCACAAAGGTGAGACATCGACAACCTTCCACAGTTCGTTTGACATCACCCGTGATACGTTCTCAACAGACAGAAAGAAAATGAAATTTTTTGTTTGAAAATACCTCTGTTTCTGACAAGCCATCGTCTCGTTTCTGAACGGCCTTCTTTATTTTGTCAATATCTTCATCACTCAGGGGGTGTAAAGATTTCTCCTGTGCGCTCACTTTGAAGAGAGGCTGGAAATTAATCAAATAACATTATAAGCAACAGTAACAGAAAAAGTTGAAGATTGGAATACGGTTTTCTAGAGGCACAGTCTTAATCTTTGATGGGACAACAATGATAACCTTTATATGCCTTGTCATGTTTTAACTAGTTACAAGCGAAAGCGACCACAAAAGAGTCCCATAGTTCATCATCATCATCATCGTCATCATCATCATCATCAACAACAACATTTTATCTAATAAAGTAGATCACATTCATGTACATAAGGCAAGTTAAAAGGTGTGAAAAAACAAAATACTTTGTACGAACAGCAGCGCAAACAAAAATAATCTCAGAGAATTGGAGGGGGGAGGGATGGACAAAAACAACAAGTTGAAATAATAAAATGTGAGCAATCTATAATTTTAGATTGGTAAGGTTCATGTTGTGCATAACTGATCCAAGAGCCGAGACAAAACCATTACCTACCTGGTATCCTCCGATCGAAAGCGTGAAGGTGGCGTCCTGCGGCAAGTTACTGGTGTACACAGAGTTGATATAGGACATGAACAGGAGAGGGAACCATATCACAATGACAAGAAGAGCCACTAACAGCCCTCCTAAGCCCCACTTGCTTATGGTCCAGTACTTTTGGCCGCGAGCTTGGAACCACGTCTAAACAACAACGATAAATACGCAAATTAACTGTAACGAATTTTCAATTGACGCCGCCAAAATACTAACTAAGGGATTAGCACAGTAGGTGAGTCAGTGCACAGCCCGATCAGGGTTGGTCTTCTGTGCGTCCGGGGCAAGCAACTACGCGAACGACTTTACGAATGCTAAAAGCCGTGCCAGAAAGAGACCTCTGTTCGCAGGGTAGAGTTCAAATCCCAGGTGTGGCATTAAATCGCTGTTTCGGCTTCTTTACTTCTTTTCGTGCAGCTTTAAGTACCTTACAATACCCATGAAACGGAGCACTGATGGGGAGAGGTGAGTAAAATGAGCGCTTAGGTCGGGTTTAGGTTTGTCAGTCTTCCATTAACTATTAGAAGTTATTTGAAGTTACTGAAGTAAAATGAGCACCTATACCTTCAAAGCTCAGGTACTGAGCTTGAGAATGAGACCAGATATCTCTTAATCTTATCTTGTGTTTACGGCCCCTTTTATCTGAATTTATCGATATTCTTGGGCACACGGTATATTACGCTTCTTTCAGTTGCCTAATGAATGTATATGTAGGGTTTACTGACTATTTTTTTTTTCGAGAATATTGGTAAGTATGTTCAAGATATGTATTACCCAGGGCGGATAAAGGTTTGGCGAAGAAACGAGAGCGTCCGAGCAAACAGTTTTATCACAGCCCAACAACGTAGAAAGTCAATCCTCACCTTCTCTGACTCTCTGTAGCACTTGAGAACATAAATGTTAGCATAAATATCCTCCATCTTGAGCCAGTGATACAAGGTCAGCGTCGTATCTGTGCAGACCCAGTCCAGCACACTGCGCAACTCCAAAAGAAAGGGAATGGCCTGGAAACTAGTAATAACAGAGCAAAAAGTGTCACATTTAAGCAACCAACTTAATTAATGAGCAAAAATGTACACAGTGAAGACAGCAAATATTCGCCTATAGCTAATAGTGGTGAAATACATGGCGAAGAGAAGGCCACAAAGTGTGACATGACAAGTAGTGCGAAATACAAAGAAAAACTAAATACGATTTTTCTAATTTCGCAGTTGGCCACTTTGCTCTGGTTCTTCTTATCACCTCAGTCCTAGCCTGCATTTCAGAAGTTTTCTTCGGGTGCGCCAATGTTTACGATCGTGTAACCACAATACTGAATACTAAAAAGTTGAGTTCAGGCGGGTCAAAGGGAACGAGAAGGGGGAGGGAGAAAGATGAAAATTATATATATTTTTTTTTCGCCCCTGTCACTCACCCGTCATTTTGTTTTGCCCCAACGCCTATCCCAAGGGTTGTTATTTCTACTCTCGCCAATCTTCCTCAGTGAAAAAATCAAAGATGGCGACCACAGCATCACGAACATAAACAAGCAGCTTTCGCTCGCCCATAAAAAATATGCATGCATTACAGGCTACCTAATTGCTGACTGGATTGCTTTTTTCACGGGCCTTATGTCACCATGGTGACTGTCTCTTACCCTTGGAATAAAATACCGCTGGTCAAGGTATAGCTCTTTGTCAGGAAATTTCCCAGAATTCTCGTGGGATAACCACAGCGTACTTGATAAGCAGAAAGGGCAAAGTACATGCAGAAGAAGATGTACATGAAGATTGCTGGGATGTTCTCAATAAACGCTCTGAAAAGAAAAATAGAATGTGAACTTTAGTGTTGTAACTATCGAACAAAAACAATCTTCCCTGAGTGTAGGTTCTGGTATTGACTCACGGTTCCAGAGTCCCAGTGGCACATTCCCTTCCCAAAATTCCTACACACCCCGGGAGGCTTAGTCATCTTTTGAACAACCGAGGCCGGAAAAGGACTGTTCATGAGAGTATAAAGATATTTCGAGAAAGGTTGTCGGGAAAAATGTGCACGCGACAAACCCGAAAGGTAATATGGGATATGATCAATACACTGTTCCTGACACTGTAGCTATCGGACCTACTTTTCCTGCTTCCCTTAAGCATTCGATAAAAAACACGTCCATGGTCTCTCGTGCCATTCTTCCAAATTTCCTTGAAGAACTTGAGTGAACGGAAAACCACCCAAAATACCTTTTGGAATCGTCGCGTGCACTTTTTCCGACAACCTTTCTCGAAATAGCTGTAAACTGAAGTTTCCACTTCGCCCAAGTTGTCAATAAGTTTAATATTTAGGTGAAAAGTGGATCATCAAATGATACCAGATATATCTATACTTGCGTGCTTGATATCACATAACTACTTCTAATCGTAAGATGATCAAACTTTCCCAAGAAACGCGTCGCAAGTCACGTTACCAGGCAGATCCGAGAGGAGGTGAGTCGTTAACGGGGACTCTCCATACAAAAGCTAAAACATTTTTACTTTCGTGAGTTCCCTTTTGATAAGTTGGTGGGTGACAGACGGTTTAACTGTTTCAGTAACAAAAGTTTAATGTCGATATAGGCCCGCTAACACGTTGAAACATTGCCAAGCATAGTAGGACAAAATAGAGATGAGTTCTATTCCAATCAACAAATTGGTAAACAGCGCTTTCCAATCCGCGTTCACGTGATTTAAAAGGAATTCTCCAAATCCTGCAACATCTTGCAACATTCGTCGAGTAACAAATGTACGACGTTAAACCGTGTGCTACCAGCTATATAATCGCGCAGTTTAAAAGTACAGTCGAACCACCACGAGCGGCCACCTCTCTGCATCGGCCACTGGTGGACAGTTCACAAATTGACTCTTGTTGCCACTTTCTTCTTTCCCCAAGGTGGTTCTCTTGTTGTGGAGAGGTTCAACTATAACTTCGGCCAAAGAAAAAGAAAGAGAAAAGGAGCGTGCCTCGTTCTTACCTTTGCGTTACAAGCGGCACGATGAAAAACATAAACACGTGGAAAAGGATCACTAAACAAACATTGTAAACCAACTTGGCAATAACAAACTTTCTGAGGTACAAATATCTGAAATACAACAACAGAGGATTAAAAAAGAAATTTAGGATGTATCAGAAAAGTAAAAAAATAAATTTTAGCAGGAGAAGTCAACACGCGTAAAGTCAAGGACTTATGATAACATACCTGTCGACTATGATGAGGATAAACTGTGTTAGCAGCATGTAAAGAAAAGTTTTAGGCACCTATAAAAGAACGCGAAATAAGCCTCAATTGGGCAAGCCGTGCAGACAAACTGTATCGGTCAATCAATAGCCCATTTAACACTTACAGGTGGAAACGAGGCTGGAGTTGACCTTGTTTTGCTACAACCCTTCCTGCTTTATTACGTAAATCATGTTGCTCTTATGTTAACTTGTATTTTTAAGCATAATTTTCATCATAAGTTTCATACAAAAAGAAGGGAGGTTTGTATCAAAACAAGGTCAACCTCAACTTCGCATTTACTCAAAAGCTAAGGATACTAAGCCCACAACTGTAAAATAGTCTATTGAAGGCCGGGAAGCTGTAAAAGGTGTCACTTGCGCACCGTAAAAGATGTTAATTGCACATTTTTAGCTTCCTCTCATAGGTATGACATATAGCACTTAATGAATACTTATCAATATATATCATACTCAAACGGTGTTTCCAGAGAGGAAAAAAATAAAACGAAACTTACGACGTTCTGCTCGATAATTTGCATGAATTGAGCTTGGGGCTCCGGCTGAAAAGAAAACGAAAGAGTTATAGAGTGGGTTGTCAACCTGGTGTTAGAAATTACTCTTAAGGGTGTTGGGCAGAAAAAGTAAACCTTGGTTATTTACCATTTACATAGACAAACCGGTTGGTCCATGGTTTACTAGTACGCAAAATTCAGGACTAGCAAATTCGTACCGGAATCGCGTTTACCATTTTTACACATCAGTTTCATTTACCGAAAAACGACCGCGAAGTCTTGAAACTGGTAACAAAGATGGCTTTGAAAAAATGGAACTCGAATTTCCGTTTGGAATATTCCGTTCGGAAAAACAGGCCTCCTTTTCAGATGTTCCGTTGCTCCCGGAACTTTTCCGCAGGAACGACTTAAAAAGTCGTGTTCCAGTTACTGTCCAACCGGATTTTCTGCAAACCTTTTGTAAATGGTAAACAACCCTTGCTCATGAATCATTCCCTGCCATTTATCTCTGGCCACAGTTGTTCAAAAGCTCAATAGCACATGCCACTATCCACCGGATATATCGCTATCCAGGCAGTGGATAAGTATTAGGAAAAACAATTGCACTACCCGCTAGGTAATGATTTACCCTATGGATTTTGAACAACTGGAACTTGGGAGCCGGAAGAAGTTTAAACGGGGAACCCATCGTTTATCTTACCTCTGGGGAAGAAAACGCAGACCAACTAGACACGATGATGATGAAGATAATGAATTGGCAGGCAAACATCATGGCATACACATCAACGGCACCAGAACCAATTTCAGGATCATAAATTCGACGAAAGAATGTTGCGACAGAAAAACACAGGCCACTAGAGAAGATAAATGAAAAAGACAATTATACTAAAACCTCCCGTACGCGACCGACAAAAATGTCAGGATATAGTGGTCGCTTACGAGGGCCGAAACACGGGGGTCTATATCGAGAACGGGACTGACACATCTTTTTCACTGACCCAGGAAATTAATAGCTCGAAATCTCACAATGTTAAAAGTAACAATGACATGTCATTCAAAGTCTCTTACACACGCTGGGCCAAATATTTACACGCAGTTTAGCCAGTGTTTAACAAAACCGCATTCTAAGGCATTTTCAATTTGCCCAACGATTTTATCTAAACATTATTTATCGTGAACAGTTTTATGAAAGCAAATAGAGAAGACTAGAAAAGCATTTATCTTCTTCAAAAAACCACCAAAGAAGGGATCTGGAGGTTCAAAGATTCGTTAAACCGCGGCTTAAGTTAGACTTCGTTGAAATATTTGGCCCTCTGAGCTTTACAGTACGATGTACATACAACGATCATAAAGATGAGGCTATGTGTCAAGTGGTCCCTCAAGGGTGACTGGGAAGTTACAAAACCGTCCCCACTGAACGTGATCGTCGTAGCTCGCGAGAGGTGGTCATTTCTTGTTGGTTTCACCCATGGGTTTTGACTGGGAACATTTTTAGTGCTTTGGGTTGAAGTTCGCGTATAGGAGATGGCCGCTTTCAAGAGGTGGTCACGTATAGAAGTTCGTCTGTATCAAATTGCCGCTGGAAGGCTAATAAACGAGAATGGTACATACAACGTCTGAAAATGAACGCATGAGCTAAGCGTTGTTTTGTACTATCAATTTGTATTCCAAAGCTTTACAAAGTAAGATGTGTTAGATGAAACATTGATAAACAGTAAGTCTTAAAAACCAACGTAAGCACCTCTGAAAACATTTAAAACTCTTTTAATGAAAACGTCCGTGGGTGCAATGCCATTCAGTTGGCTCATTTTCGGTAAATTTAGCGTGGTTTTCTTATAATTGGCCACGTTTTAAACGAGCGGGAAACTGGTACGAATTATCACCGTAAAGGCTACTAAGGATCGTTTGGAGGGATAGTAAAAACATGGCAGACAGCAGCAAGCCACTGCAACCTTTTTAAGACGCTCTCAAGGTTATTATTGCCTCTTTTTTTTAAAACTAAGGACTAACTACGCACCGTTCCTGATTGTTGTGTCTGCTATCACCGCCATCCACCTCTACTTCCTGAACAGAGTAAAAAATTCATTATCAGTGTTATGATCATGACTTTGCATGGGCAAGCAGATCAGTCATTTGACGAGGCCAACGGTGGACCAATTTAGGTTTCTGGAAAACTGCCCACCTAACCTTCCCCTGAGCTAACATTAAAACTTACTTCTTACTTTGGGCAAAATGATGGCTTAGGGGAGGGGTAGGTGGGCAGTTTCCCAGAAACCTAAATTGATACGATTGTTCTTTAAAGCCGCAAACGGCCAACGGCCGTGAACTCCCAACGAGTATTTTCCTTTATACATTCACCTTTATAGTTTTATTGATTCAAACCAAAAGTGACCCTCCACAGGATTTCAGTAATTTTGGTGATAGCACGTGCACTACACGTTCGCACGCTAGTAACACGACACCCTCAGCGTGTTGAGATTGACGATATGCGCATAATTGATAAGCAAAACAAAGGTTATCGTGTCACCCCGTTGCTTAGTATTGTTATTGCCTTCGTTGCACAGAAAAGCTTTGTTTTCTTGGCACGGTTTCTTAACATGGAAGAGCTGTGTTCTTAAAACGGTAGTTTAACACGGTAGACACCAATCTCAGCTTTGACATCTTTGGCTGCTTGCAAGATGAAGCTGAACTTCTTGGTAGTAAAAATTTGACAACCACCGAAATAAAGCCGTGACTGTTTACATTTCAATTTCTCGTTGATTTTTAAGATTACATTCTATACAACGAACAACACAATGAGCACAAAGTAGTAAGATAATTGTAACCCTGATTTATATCCCGCAATTGCTAGAACTGTGGGTTTTGCCCTGATTATTTTCGACGGTTCCCCGACGCCATTTTGACGGGTCAATACTCGGTCCAGGCCAGCGCGAGTTCTACACCACCACGTTGTAAATACCAATGTAGCCGTTGTCTCCTTCGCAACCACTCCGGCCGAAGTCACGCAATGCTCCCCGTTCCCAATGCGTGACTCCGGCCCGAGCAGTTGCGAAGGAGACTCATGTAGCCGAAGATCAGGCACTTCTTCTTCCCGTTCGTGTTCCAGGTTTTAAGCGGATTGACGAAGGACGAATGAAACACACAAAATAAAAATAAAAAGGTCTTTCAGATGTCATATCGTTCAATTCAGTAAGGAACTACTGTAGCACTACTATAACGTTAACAAGAAAAGTAACAAGCCAACAGGGTCACCCCGTTAATAAATGCACTGGCAGTCAAATCCGTACGACCCAATACTAGCCTATCAACAGCGAATTGTATTGAAATTCGATGGTTCACGCGCAAAACGTTAGTAGTCATGAATGCGCAAATAACAAAATACGTCCCAAAATCTGTGGTACTCCTTGAAATAACTGTTAAAAGTACCTGTGAGTGACGTGTAGAGGTGCTCGTCTCCGTAGACAGGGATCTTTCAAACATTATAGAACCGCCATAACCGTGACCCAATTGACCTGAAAGGGAAATAATAATAAGAACAAATGCACAAAAAAGTAATAAGGTCGAAAAATTTCGTGACTTTGAGGAACTATATTTTCGAATGTTTTCAGCAAATCGCCTCCAAACGTGCCAACTGCAGACTTGTTTTAAAGCATTCTTTCTAAGCGACGACGGAGGATTTTTCATAACTGCTTCACGTCAAAAAGTGAAATCGCCGTGGAAGGGTCTATCTGATTGGTTCATAAGTTTTAACAGCCTACGCGGGTTATTACTGAGTGGCTTGTTGACACGCATGTTCCCTTGCCTAGCGCGAGTTACAAAAAAGCGCCACGTGGGTAAAAAATACAGTAGTCTTACAGCTCATCAGAACCTCTAATTTAATTGGACCCCTATGGGTCGCAGCTCTTTTGTTTTTGGGCCAGGTTCTACTGTTAACTCTTGTGAGGTCTTCCGAGAGCTGCAAGGTCGCCCAAAAAATAATTATGTTGTCTCATGACGTGTGGCCACAAAAAACTATCGGAGAAACAAAAAAATCCGATCTATTACGGGCAGGCCTGTTTCTGAATACCGAGAAGAATATGCCGTCGAGAAAAGCGGATAGGTCATGTCTTTATTACCATGTGGCGAAAATGGCGACGTTGGCGGTTCGTCTGTGTCATCTCCATCGTCTTTGTTCGCCTTATCTCTCCACAAACCGTGCACCTGAATAAAAAGGAAGACTTGAATAAACTAAAACCTGACAAGAGCCGCTATGTATCGTATGTATCGGGCCTTCCTTAGGGGGGAGAAAGGGGGTAGGGAAAGGACTGATTTTAGAGGAAGAAGCTTCTCTCTCTTTTCCTTTTTTCCCAGAAACGCTTGATACTCGGGCGACCGTAGAGCTCATTTGCATTATTGTTTATTCGCTAGTGAGGGGTTTGGTCACTCCTAGTGCACAAATTCTCAAAACTCGTAACTGTTGTGAAATTTTGGCAAAGCTAGGACATGTCAACCGTCACAGGTACCATATTTGCCAAGAAGCAAACTTGCTTTGTAAAATAAAGATAACAAGCTTTAAATTGACAGCAAGGCCACAACATGCGTGTGTTTATGTGTGGGGGGGGGAGGGGGGGGGACGGGGAATCCTTCTCAGGCTACTTTTCAAAGTTCATGGACTGCCCTTCTACTCGAGGTATTCAATTTAAGATTACCAAGTAAGAACTTCAGCCAGTGGTTCAAGTGGGGAACACTCCATCCCATAAAACAACCTTCAGAGTGTCTGATATAGTTTTCAAGACGATCACTAATAATTCTTAAAGATAAATTCTATGCGGAAGTTAGCAAAATGTTATCATAAATAATTGACAGGATATCATTTCCAAGTCTGCTTCATGGCAGATTTTCTTCTTTTCTCTTCAAGAGTTATTAGCACTAAAGTACTAATAGATGACACTTTTTTTACGCGGGACCGCCACGTTACGTGGTCATCCGAGCCACGCGAAGGCCTAGCCAATTGTAGGGCAAAGGAAGTGTCTTCATTTCTAAGTTATTTTAAGACCCTGAATATTGGTCCGGTCCCTGGAATCGAACCCAGTGCCTCCATCTCTGCAGTCAAGTAATCTCCCGACTGAGCTAATCCCACCACGGGTGAAAAAAACAATGCACCCGTAAAAACAAACTTACCTTCAAGGAATATCTGTGAAAAAACAGGACCAAAAGAAGTAGGAGATCGTAGGCAGACGTGTGTCCATCACGCTCAATTCCAATCAACCTGGGCGGACACAGCGGACTATTCTTATCCAGACCTTCGGCGCGATTACAATCATTGATGTCTATGAACTGAAACTTAAACAAGTACTTCACCACAATCACAACCTGAGTGTAGGTCATTACAGTGATCCAGAAGATCTTGGTCGGCCTGGGGATCGACAACATACCCCACAGGAACACCAAGAAAGGCAGCGGCATGGACAAGACACTGGCGTATACCATGTGATTGAGAATCATTAACATGTAGCACAGAATGTCGGTGTTCGCCAGTAGTGCGTATACAAACGCTATTGTGAGGCGTGATATACGCATGTTTGACTTCCGCCAACTCGCACTTCCGTCAGCTTCGTCAAGATCTATATTGGACGCGGACCACGCGTCATCGTCTTCCATTGTGATTCGTGAAGTCATACTCTAATATTAGCAGGAAAACAAAACCAGTAAAACTTAATGGCCGAGAATAATCCCTGCTGCAGAAGAATGACCAGTTAGTTATTTACATAACTAAGGGGGACTATGGTCGCAAATATGGTCATAGTCATTAGTGAAGGAAACTGGTTATCTACGCCGAAAAAAAATTAAAGATGATAACAATTGACCCTTCCACTCACTCCCGTCCACTGGTAACTAATACCAAGTTTAAAGGTAATACGTGCAAATAGAGCAAAGATATTGTTCCACAAAGTCGCGAAATTTTACAGACACTTGTACTGGGGGGCAAGTTCCATACAAACGTCTGTAAAATTCCGCGATCTTGCGGGGCTATATCATCAGTAGTTTTCAATAAAACACTTTCACACTTGGCAACCTTTACTGTTAAGGCGTTCTTTCCAGCCGTGTTAACATATTTTGGCTAACTGGTCGCAGGCAAAAGTTGTAAAAACCGTGGAAGGGTCTATGGTGGTGCAGTGTAAGTTGGAAGTCCCCTGAGCGTGCGCAATCCTTTATTCACACCGAGATTATGACTAATAATGAATAAATTAATACTATATTTCTATTGCTGGGTTTATAGGTCAAAATGATGGGAATGCTAGTGAACGTTGCGCACGGTCATGTCCAAAAAAGGCTAACAAATACATAAAACAAAGAAGTCTGACAGACTTTATAACCATTGCACTTTATTAACTATGATATGGTATTGCAAAATTATAGTCACTAACACAAACCTTCGCATCTGCATCAGGGTCCGAGACATCCTCGTGCCGAAGCCGAGCACTAGTATAACCGAACTTAGCACGACGAAGCTTCTCGATTCGTTTCTCTTTGCGTTCTTTCTTGAGCTGGTCAGCTATCTCCCGGTAGTCTTTAGAAATATCATTTAACAAGTTTATAACTTTGTCCACTGCAATAGCGATGTAATAATAAAGCCAGCTACACCACTTCTTGATCTTGTTCACAAATCCGTCATTTTGTCCTTCGTCGTCGGGCAATTCCGGAGCAATGACATTCAGAAAGTCATCTTCGTCCTCTGATGAAGCTGCCGCGCCCGTGGCTTCGGCCGGTTTTCCTGTAAACACAACAGCTGCGAGGTTGATACTAACATTTATGCTTGGCTCTAAGGCTTGAGAATAAAAAAAAAGAAATGCTAAATTTATACATTCAGCCCCAAAACCTCTCGCTGACTTCATTTGTTTTATTTCCCAAGCCTACGAGACAAAGTATCCATTTAATAAATTCAAATTGGTCTGTTAATCTACCTTTGTCGCCAGTCTCCTCGATCCCAGCTGGTTCTCCTGTTGTTGCAGAGGGAGTGGGACTTCTGCCGCGGCTTGGTGACCCTGTGGCAGAGTCACTCTCTACCTCTTCCTCGGATTCCGACTCGAACCACTTGTAATCACCTGAGTATATCGCTGTAAGAATACAAATACACATGATGGTACTAAATATCTTGCCATTTGATAAAACACTGGAGTATTAACGGTATTCTTAGTTTTTAAGACACTCAACAATTTCGCATCATATTACATAATGCGGGCAAGAGAAACGCAAAGTATAATTTGATGCTACCAAAAGTTAGGATCAGTATAGCCAAAAATGCTTTCAAGTTTTTAGCAGCTAGAGCTGGAACGAACTCCCAAAAGACATCAAAGGGGACCAGTCGATCAGTACATCTTCGCTAAAACTTAGAACGTGCCTTTCATGACCATAATCTTTGTAAAAATTGTTTTTAAGCAGGACTTTCTAGAATACTGTATATTTAATTTTCATTTTATTTACTTTTATTTACTTTTTTTTTATTTATTATCTTTTATTTATTGTTGAGGACCACGACTATATTATCTGTGGATAGAGTCAAGTTAAACCCTCATTAAAAAAAAGTATCTATCTATTTATGGTCGACTTAGGGCCTGTTCACATGCAGGTGGGGGACCCCAGGTAGGTGAAGTAACCTTCCTGGCTGGAGTACCCCGCTTGTCCATATAATCTATTTCAATGTAATCACGTTTACATGAAAGGTGCGGTGACCATATGGGAGATTATATGGACAGGCGGGCTACCCCACCTATGCGGGTTCCCTGCCCCCCCCCCCACCTTCATGTCCAAAAGCAGACCAAAGAAAAAGTACCCTATACTTGACGCAGGAAATGAAGAAACGTGCAATTAGCAGAAAGAAACTCGAAACTCGATTCGGAGACGGACAGGAGCGAAAGGTACCGGATACGGAAATACGTGACAGACCTTGGACGGACAGCGAGTGAGGTGAATGCGCACTTTTCTTCTTAAGCTACAAGAACTGAGCGAGGATGAACATTTAATTTTGTTAAAACTTAAAAAAGGTTGGTTTACAGCTTTTTTCTCGGCTTAATTGTCATTAAACGAAAGCGATATCCTCTACACAAGAAATGTAAGTGATGAACTCCTTTGTTACTTTAAAACACGTACCTTCATAGTGGGATTGAGGCTCGTACTGTTCCCCTTCTGGGTGCAGCTTAGCAAGTTTCTTCTTTAATTTGTATAACCTGTTGGAAAGAAACACGAGCAATGAAGAGATTAAGCATCGCGTTTACGGCAAACGTGAATTTGTACCACGTGACCAAGTTTCCTCTTTGCTTGCCTTTTACTGTTCATCATAACTACACGAAAATCGGTAGATTCACGCCAATTTTATTCATAAGAATTACTTTAAGCTGTTTTTGTCTGCTCATCTGTCATTTTCGAAATTTCGCGACTTGAATCTCACGTTTGCCGTTTGCCGTAAACGCGATGCTTAATCTCTCTAATATAATACTCACAAACAGTAACTAATTTTCAAACAGGGATACATAACAGAAGTCTGAGGCCCCGTCCACATTAATACATACATTTCGATGCGTTTAGGCCTTCCGTCCACACTAATACGCTGAGTGTTTTCATCAAAAACGCACCGACTTGAAAACGCTCTTGAAAGTGGATCAAAACGAAACGCATACATATTGTATCAGTGCGGACGGTCGAAAACCGGCGAAAACTCATCAAAATGAAAACGATGACCGAAAATATTGTAAGCGCGTGTGTTTGTAGCATGCGCATAGAGTTCAACTTACGTCACAACCTGCAACTCTATCGTTTTCCAACGTTTTAGTGTGGACAGTCAAAAAGTCATCAAGACGGTAGTGTGGACGCGAATCGATCGATGCGTTTTCGATGATAACGAAAACGCATGCTTTTGAAAACGCATTAGTGTGGACAGGGCCAAAGTGTACGAAAAAATTGACTGGTGCAGATGCAGTTATACATGTACTTACGACTTTTTTATTCGATCCATTTTTCCTTTGTCCTCTCGCCTCACGGCTTCCAATTGAGCGCGCACATGCTCATCAACTAACTCAGCTCCCCTAAGCGAAAAGATGTGCCGCGTTAAAAAAGTATATATATTGTAATAATTCCATTTAAATGCATATCAGCCAATGCATCTCTAGCCAAAAAAGGAATAGCGACGACCGGAAACACGTCATGTGTTCGCAGGTCAATGCTTAAACTAATTGGGCCACAATTTATGTAATTGGAAAACAACATATAAATCATTTTCTCTAGAGACCTGCGGGTGCTGCCTAGTTTTATTAGACAAACAAGCAATACACTGGATACATTTTAACGGAATATCTTCCTGTTTGACCAACTAAAATCAGAGGTTACTCAGAGGCTACAGTTACAAGTTAAAGCCTTTTGCGGTGAGGTAGACAGCTCTCGGTCAGATCTTTTACGTACTATATCAAACACCAGGAGCAGTGTTTTATAGGTTATCCAACACTTATTAACGACGTCGAGGTAAGTGGACATCAGATGAAACCCAATTATTTCGAAAGTTTCTGATTTACCTTTTCTGTTCAGTCTTAAGGAAATTCAAAGAAAACGTTCTAGGATTTCCGTGTCTTTACAATCAAAATTCTATAACTGGTGTTATGTTCATGAATCAGCAGGAGTTTAAAAACGTGCTGATAAAACTTAAAGGGGCTATCATGCATGTCCCGCTATTTCCTATCTTTTTAAAAAAAGCTAAAACGTTTTTCGCATCAATTAAATTACAAAAATAATGGTCCAGTTTCGTTCGTCAAGACTGTATCTCAGGCTTTGAAACTATTTCTTGTAGTCTGTTGCAAAAGATCGTAAGGATGGACACGGATGATTGAAACTCGAAAAAATTGGGCCAACGTTTTCAAGTTTTTAATGCTGTGCCTGCAAAAAGGTCATTACACGTTTCTGGGAAACTGCTCACCTACCCTCCCCTAAGCCAACATTAATACTTACTCCTCACTTAGGGCAAAATGTTGGCTTAGGGGAGGGGTAGCAGGGCAGTTTCCCAGAAACGTATATTGACCTGAAATTTCCTAAGGTTAGTGCCCAGTGGTGAGATTATTTGATATTTTTTCAACAACTCTGCTGGAGCTTTCTGTGTATGGTAACCGTGAGGTCGCCCGAAAGTCATCTCGCCCGAAGTTATATCGCCCGAAACGAGAGTCGTGTCGCCTGAAATTTTAATAAAGAATGTATGTAATATATCTCGTTCTTTAAGCGATAATGAGACAAAACAAGCTAGACAATTGTGTAATTAGGTCTCGTTCCTTAAGCAATGATGATGTGGTGAGACAAAAACAAGCGGGATGAATGTGTATCATAACCCGTTCTTTAAGCGATGAAGAGACGAAACAAGCGAGATGAATGTGTAACATATCTCGTTCTGTTAGCTTTGATGAAACAAACACGTCAAATGCGTAATAATGATGAAACGAAACAAGCGCGACTAAGATGTTAGGATGTTACTTAGCATGATAAATTTTCGGGCGACTTGACTAAAGATTTCGGGCGACATAACTTCGTGCGAGATGACTTTCGGGCAACTGGACCGTAAAACCTGTGTATGGGTTTAGGCACTAAGCAATGACCTCAGTACAGAATTGATCGAAAACAGCAATATTATCGTGACAGTCAATCATCGCATGTTAATAGCCTTAAAAAGGCTCACCTGCTGGCCATGTCTGACTGCTCTCTGTGGTCGCGCACCACGTGCTTAAAATAGTCTGATGTGAACACACGGTACTGTATGACGAGAAAAGTAAAGCATGCGCAGTCCATAGCAAGTCCCGTGTCTGATGGCGCCACGCAGCCGTCGTTAACCATCCCCGCCGCGATCTTGTTGTAGCCACGCTGCCGCAGGCAGAACAAACTTAACAACTGTAAAGCCCAGCATCCAGTATGTCTCTTGACATACTCCACATATACACACGACACGAGCTGCGTGAAGACAGAAGAAAGACTTAAATTCAAGGCAAAGAGAGAGCGCCTTTATTGAGCGATTTGCTGCACGACAGGAGCTGTGAATTGATTGCAACACTAGACTAGTTTACAAGTATAAACGAACTGTGATTTAATGGCGATTCATTGCACGCTGATCGAAATTTAGTGCCACTAACTTGCGAATAAACTATACTAGGGTCAAGCTGGGTCAAGTGAGCCCCTAAGATTCTATTAATGAATTGATTATTTGAAAAAGGAATCCGTTCCTAGTTGTAGATTTCAGATTCATCCCTGCAATCCTGCATGCGTAGTCAGCTGAGAATTCACATGTCAGAAAGTAATGAGATTTCTCTCCAGTTTTAGTTTTCTTAAATGTTTATGCATTGAAAGATGGACAAGATTTTTCAATCTCACCAAAATATTCACAAGTTATAGTCAAACATTTACTACTCATTACGCCTGCAGAAATGCAGATTTGAAATTGACACTAGATACGGGAACGACTAACGGATTCATTACTCAAACAATCAGTTCATTAATACAATCAAAGCGAGGAGGGGGGGGTACATGACTTGGCTTACGACCTCATTTCATTTCTAATCACGAAACCCCAATAACAGCTCATAAAAAGACGATTATAGGTGATTATCTATTCCAATCAGAATCCACTCCGTTGGGAACTTTGAGTTATTCCGATGAAGCCTGCGAATAACCCCAATTGTCTCGACTTCCGGTGAGCTAAATTCCAGTGGCTTCAAATATAATTGGCACAGCTCTGATATGCTACGCCCTGATACGCTCATAAAAGTGACTTTTCGCCTAAAGAACGGCCTGATTGCTCCACATGCGTCTAACCCTACCTGAAGACAAACTTTAGCCAAAAGTGTGAAATAGTTGTATCCTATGAAGATTTTCCACAGTTTGAATAGTCTTGTTCTTGGCTGGAGATAGAGGGCTTGCCCGTGCCATAAAAAGAAGAAGCACCAAAGAATGAAGCCAAAGTTGAAGATGCTGATGGTGCTCTGGACTGTGATGTAAACTACAGCTAAGGTCACCCAGTACATGTGTTGAAACACGAACACCTGCAGAGAGAAAACAATGAGCCACTTTGAGGCAACGTCTGAGACTGGTTCGGTGTTGAACCGAATGGCATTATGGGTCTGTTTGAGGAGCAAGTGTCATCCAGTTTCCCGCCAAAACTTTCAAAAGGCTTATAGAAAAAGCGAGAACGTCTCCCAAAAGAGTCCCATAATGTAACTTGACAAAACACCGAACCTTACATGGAGAGATAGCCATCTCTCCTCGCTCCTTGTCCCTACGGATGTTTTGCGGGAGAGATGTTTGCGCCTCAACGACAGAAACTCCATTCCAATGACGTAATTCATATTCAAACTTACAGTGAAAAGCTAAACAACCTAGCCTATGAATGGAAGTGAGGCTAGTGGTGACTTTGTTTCGATAGAAACCTCGGAGTCCTTCATATGCCTAAAAGTATGTCTTGTATTTGAAAAGAAAAGGTTTCTGTCAAAACAAGATCAGCCTCTGCCCCCACTTCCACAAACTGTAACAATGAGGCCAACTTTAGATCGGCTGCAAATCTTTAGGAGTTTGTCAAATGAATTAAATTCGAGGTAATGAAAAAGCCTCTTCTGCGATAACTAGGGAATAAGGAGAAGAACTTAAAATCATCGAACAATGAGATGGTACATACCTTAAAGAAATCTAACCAAGTTATGTTCCACATAAAGTCTGGAGTAGTTGTTGTTTTTCCTCGGCTGCCGCGTCTGGTGGAGTTGATAGTTACCCTCCCTGTTCCTTGCTCGGCGGAACGCTGAAAACGTTCAACAGAAAAAACGTTTTCTTGACAGCAGGCGAACAGCAACTGGAAGAAGTCACCTAGAACCAGATATACAGAATGTTGTAATGAAAGTATGAATAGACACCATGCTTCTTTTGAAATGGTATTTTCTTTAATTCTTGTGCAAAATTTCTAACCAAAACTAACTTTAATGGCGAATCATAAGGAGAATTATGGCTTGAGTGCCGAGCGGCCATCTTGGTCCAGTGATTATGATGCAAATAGGTATGGTGAGTCCTGGGCCGGGTTGTTCGAAGTTGGGTTAAGGTAACCCAGGGTTAGTTCGAAATTTGAATTTAGATAAGAGAGCTTAAAAAGTAAATTCAGTTTAATTCTCTTTGCCAACAATCTGATGATTGGATACTCTAAACAGAATGGAGAAAATTATCCAAGAGAGTGTTTTTGATAAAAAGAAAAAGAAACCCGGGTTAAAATTTAACCCCGGATTAGCGCTAGCCGGCGTTCGAACAACTGGGCCTTAGACAACAAAGACTTAAAGAAATATGGGTAGTTAAACAACAGCCACAAGAACAGCCACAGAAATCCACAAACAGGATATTCTACAAAAACATCTTCAGATCGATCATCCAACGGGGCACATACCACAAATCATTTTGCGTCTTTCGGGAGCAGGACGCAGAGGTAACAAAATCACTGTTGGTCATAAGGCCATGTCCACACGAATCCGGTTATTTTTTAAACCACATATATTTTATCCTGATTCGTGTGAACGGGGCCGGAACGGAACGGTTTCGGAGAGCAGATTCACTGGTTTCGTGTGGATGAAAGGCATTTCGTGTTAAAAGGTATGCGGTTTTAAAATTATCCGGATTTGTGTGGAAGTGGCCTAAAAAAAGGCACTTGTTCACAAAAGAAAAGGGTGTGACCTCCACAAGAATGGTTTGGTCCACCAATATGGCTGCTGTTTTATTATTTCTGGTGCAATGATATGACAGACAGACGTCCTGACACGTGAAAAAAAAACAACAACAACAACTATATATCAAAGCACGTGACAAAACAAACTTGCATACTGCCGAAAATGGAAGCCCGACGCACACGCAGACAAAGATGCCGTGATTTAGCGAAGCTATTTTCGAATTACGTTCTAACGCTTAGGAGTTAGAACTGGGTCGACTGTCGTCGGTTTGCTAAAGCAACTCGACACAGATGAAATCAGCCTTTCCGGCATTCCTCTCTAGTGATCACACACACTAAAACAAGGTCGGGTCAAGGGTGGACAGTTTCTTTGAAATCAAGGTCTTTCGTTACCCCGAGGCTTGTGCCTTTGTTCACAAGACTGCAAGAATGGGGATGGGGTGTGTTACCTCAAGGCAAATTCTTCAAAAGCAAGCTTATAAAAGCATTGTTTTCCTAGTCCAAAGGCCCCGTTGGAGAAAAGAGGGTCATTCAACTTTAGCGAGCTTTTATATGAGAAAAAAGTTGACCCTTTTGCCCTAGCCAACAGGACTCATGCATGCTCTGATTGCCTTGCCTTGACTGGGCAAGCCAAAGTGTTTGTATGGAGAAAGTTGGCCCTTATAGCCGAGCCAACTTTTTGTTTCTCATGTAAATGGTTTAAAATATTTACAAAGGAAATGTAGGAAGAGTTGACTCGCCCAGGGTAACTTAGCCTGCGTAGGAGGCGCTAGGAACTAATAGGCGCAAGAAAAAACGGGCTCGCGCGAGGGAAACACGCGAGGGGAGACGGAGCGCATGCCGGAGAGGCCCACGAAAATCGTTTTTTCCGCCCCCTATCCAATTACTTGGCAGCGCTGCGTGATCTGAAACGTGCTCCCTCCCCCTTAATTCATAGCGCCTGCTATGCAGAATAAGGGTAGCTGGAGTAGACGAGTGAGCCTTCCGCCCAGGACAAGTTTCCTTTACAAAAACGAGGGCCAAATTATACTATGTAAAACGTATGGGTCGTGTAGCTCTTAATAAAAAACGAAGAAAGGAGAGATTGCTGTTTCGTATAGACTTACTGAAAAGCATCTTAGGGTCAGGTGGTAGCTTTACATCCGTCAGGTAAAGCCAGTGTACAAGATTGCTGTTTAAAGCGCTAGTCCAAGGATATGCTGCAATTGGATAAATAAATGAATAACTAATATGAACAACAACATGATGTAAAGTGGCCACAGCAGTGACAACACAGCCTAACCACACCATATTCACTTGGCTAACAGCCTTTGGGTTCATACCTCACGCATACCGTCGATGACCTAATAAACGCCCAGGGCGTCTACGGAACCTGTGTACAACGGTCACCCTTGGGAAATGGCAAAGTGATCGTTATACACATGGTAACCGCTATATACAGGTCAAAAAAAAACTAGATTACTGCATAGTTAATGTGCATATAAGTGGTGTATTAAAGAAGATCAATAAGCGCTATCCGTACTTTGAACTTGAAGTTGAACAAACATAATACATAAACCGTTGTAAATCAAACAATGAAATGAATAAATTGACTGATTTGGAGCAATATTCATGGAGGGGGTTTATTAGATAGGGGCGTCTAATACAGTTTGAACAGCATAGAGGGGGCTTTTATTACATGAGAAGTGTTTATTTGGTCATTTACGGTACACTTCGTATACATCTCTACCCACATCTAGAGTAAGTTGTTTGCAGGAAGGAGAGAGTCGAGTAGACACGATGATGATGATGGTGAAGATTGTGGTGTTGATGATGATGATGAATATTATTATGGCAAAAATTGGACTGAATTTGCGATAAAGGTTGTTTAAAAACACTAGCTTCAAACTGTGCTCACCAAAACCGTTTTATAGTACAGTAACTCTTGACTTCAAAGAAGTAACAAACAGGCACTCTCAATACATCAGTTTAAAGTCAAATCCAAACGAGCTCTTACCCAAACACAGGGCAGGAGGCCATCCAAGTACAAGAAGATACTGTAGTGGTAGGAGCACTGCCAGGAAGCCCACGTACACAGGCCACACAATAGACGAGTTCTGTCGGCCCAGTACTAAAAAGACCCCGAGCCATATAGCGTACACTACGGAAGAGATATCACAACGGACAGCCATGTTTATGACGATCATGACTAGACAAACCTGAAAAGAAGAAAAATCAGCAGCTGAGCCAAAGAGTGATGTAAATACAGTTTCCTCTCATACAGACGATTTGCCCGGTCAGAATCACGAGATTGCAAAAAATCTACCTCCGGTTGACGTGCGTCGCTCAAAAAAGTCGTTGCTTAAACTCCCTAAATTATTCCAAGAGAACGCGTTGGATACGAGAAAGTATTAGAGGGCTTTAGATTCCGAGACGAGGAAGACTACGTGTACGAGACTTTCTCAATATTGAGTATTACTCACGAGTGAACCAGCGTCATTTTGGCGGGAAAACGCGATAGCCGTCGTCAATCTACTACGAGTTTTAGCGAGAATGTCGTAGTGGCGGCAACAAGTCATCAAATGTGAGAAGTTTTATCATTTTGCCATTGGGAGAGGGCTTAACCACCTTCAGTACAAATAACCGTACTAGCTTTTTTGGTGAAACAAGTAAAATGAAGCTTTCCTGGGTGTCTTTTCTTAGAACACGCACAAAAACGTTAAGTTTAATCTGGTACTCTCTATTAAGCTTGCAGGGGACACCTAACTTTATGCTAATTACCGTTCATGTAAGAACCTGTTTAGGATATCTATGGGAAAATGCAAGTTCTTACTCGTGGGTTTTTACCGTATTAAACAAATATTTGATGCAGCTCACACATCCCTCGTCTGCATCAGGTCGTGTGATTCCAGGGAACAGAATTCCTGGTTCAGGCTCCTTCAAGTTTCTTCTCCAACGGTAAAGTTTCTGAAAACAAGCGTAAAAAAGAACATCCACAATGATCCAAAACTTGTTTGGGGGCCTAAAAGTAGCCCATTTTACAGTTACAGGTGAAAACGAGGCCAGAGTTGACCTTGTTTTGATACATCCCTTCTTGCTTTATTATGTAAATCATGTTGTTCTTATGCTAACTTGTATTTTTCAAGCATAACTTCCACTACAAAAGGAAGGAGGTTTGTATCAAAACAAGGTCAACCTCAGCCTCACGTTCACTCAAAGGCTAGGTTACTAAGTCCGCAACTGTAAAATGGTCTATTGTATATTTGTAGCCCAACATTGTTGCTTGCACTGTTTATCACTTTATTCCTTAAAGTCTGTACTTGAAAATAGCTTTGCTGTACTTGAAAACAGTTTTTAATGAAAAGGAACTACAAACAGGTTTTAGTATTTGGTTTTGAAGTCAACAAAAAGCTATTTCTTCATTATCATTATCATCATCATTATCATCAAGATCATCATCCTTATCATTAACCCTCATCCTACCAAGTGGGGTCCAATGAGACCCCAACTGATAATCAACATTTACCACAGTTCACATGGTTGGACAATGTGTTCGAAATTTAAGGAATGTGTCCTTATGTATAAACCACCTTGAATGCAATTATTACTTTTATACTAGAAATACGTGTATCGCAGAAACTCGCGAAACCCAGGAGGGTGGGGAAGGGGCATAAAACGACAGGGATGGAAGGGGGGAGAGAATCGGAGTAAATTGTGTAGCTTGGGAGGGTGGGTTTCAATACTGGCTCTAATATTGGAATGTGAGATGAACTTGATCACCTTTTTGTTGGAGTAAATTTGAACCCCGTGCTTTGCCGTTAAAAGGGATTTTCTGGGTTTTAATGGGGTTGGTGTTGTTAAGGAAGGTTAGCCAGTGTTTCATAGGTCCTGTGTTCACCCCATTTGACCCTCCTACATGTGTAATAAATAGTCAAAAGAAAATGGGTGTGATACTGAATAACTGCACGAAAGTGAGGTGAATATGCAGCTAACCCATGCCATTTTTAATAATAAGTGTAATAATAATTACTTGTGAAGTGTGTTATTAGTAATGCAGTGAAAATAACACGTAAATGCTGGCGAAAAATATTCCTTGTTAAGCGACCTACAGCAATGAGAGTGTTTGCACTACTGTTGTAGTACATAATCCAGAAATGCCAACCTCTGGAAATCTAAAAACTGGAGAATCTTTCTCTTTCATCCCCCCAACATCAATGATCACCTCCCTCCCCCCCCCATAAGCACAATTCGATCCAGTCCCTCGGCTTAGGACATTATATGAAGTCTAACATGAGGTACTGAACCATCACAATTAGCTTCTATGATTGTAATGAGGAAATAATCTTTGTCAGTGATGAAATACGAGAGAAAATGCCCCAGAAACCGAACTTTGAATCAAAGGAAATTCGAATTTTGGGAGAAATGGGATAAATTCCAAATTAATGCACAGAAAAGCTCACAAGTCGATTTTATCCGGGGGATTTGGTGACCCGTACGGGAGGAGATTATTGTCGTATTCGGGAGAGTTGGCATGTATGATAATCACACTTGACAACTAACTGTTTTTAACAGTAAGGTGCAAACATAATCACTTACACTGAAATAGAAATTACATGTAGCAATGTCACTACGGAAACAGCTGAGGGGAATTGTGTTTATGATGATTATTGAATATGCGGTACCCTCATTAGCACTGAATTATCCCTGTAAAGAGTACCAAATCATTTATGAAAGTGTTCGCATTTATTTGTGTACATGTATGAGAAACAAATACCCATGCACGAGTGAATTTGTATGACATGTGCAAATACAAGTTATGTTGAAGTTGATCAGTTTCTCAATTCTCAACATGCTTGAGCTTGTTGAGACATGGTTGATAGAGGAATAGTTTTTGAAATTCCCAGACTGACAGTCAAATGTACACTTTCTCTGACCAAATATATTGACAATTTGTCCAGATATTAATGGATTCCAAATTCCACTCAAAACTTTGTGTACTGGACACAAATGACGTAAAGCAAAAGACTTCTTTGTTTTCTGTTCTGGGAAAATCTGCTTGGTATTGTTTCAAGGATCTTGTTATTTTGTTTTACGTCATCTGTGTCCGGTACACAAAATAAATGCCCAAACTCCCATCACAACCATCCTCTCCACCAATTTATTACATGAATTTATCACGAATGTAAAGCACAGAATGGATTGATCTTATAGGAAACCCTATATCTGCTTGTCGTTTAATTTCTGGAAACAATATCCTGCTGATGGAATATGTTTAACTCCGGTGAATATGCAGAAATATGTCTCCTCCCGCTGACTTCTTTGAAAGAGTCCAATTTTCCCTGACTTATACGGAAATTTACTGACTTGATAAATTGTCCCTTACGGGTAAAAGAATCAATTTTCCTGGCAATTGTAACAGATGTCAGACACTAATATTGTGAGGAGATCCGAAATACAGATGTTCTTTTCGAATAAATAGGATCTAAAATAAGAGGCCAGCAATAATAAATTTTTGTTACGTTTCACTTAAAAGACACAGCTTTGTTTATGTATAAGGCTGCTAAACATAGATATATATTTTTACGTGGGATGGTTTTGGAGAAGTAAATGTAATAAAAATTGTAAACGAAAATTTTGTTCAGTAAGGACTGTTTACAAACGTAACGCTTCCCTACATGACACACATTATCGGTGTTATAAACTTATACTACAGGCTGATATTTAAAAAGTCCGTAGTCACTATCATACTGAATATTTGATGGGGTCCAAACTGACCCCAGAAGGGATGATTTGTACTAAGATGTTAAAATCACCTAGAAAGTAAGTTTGTCCACTTAAAAATGTTCGTTTAATTGCAAGGATAAAGGTAATTATCATATAGACACGAGTGTTTTACTGGAAAATGTACCACTCGTAAAATTCATAAAAACTACATCAGGGACCCGAGTGGTTTATTTTCCATAATCTCACACGTGAGTTTATCGATAACGTAATTTCGGTAATTTTCCTTCGAAATTTGTAGGCGTCTTGCGTCTTTTGAATTTTACTTACACGTTTTTCAAAGTTTTGCTTATATTTTGTCATTGTAGAGCCCTATTCAGCTCAGTGTTATTTCTCAAGATTATTGTAACCAATGTCTTATATTGCTGTACTGTAAATCTGAGCTGTCACAATTACTTTTTGGCGAATAAAAATCTATTATTTTATCGAAGTCTTTTTGTCTATATAATAAAAAGAACATTACACGGCGGCTTGAAGATATGAATTTTATTTTCTCGTTGCAAAAACAATATTTTTTTGCCACTCCAAAATAAAATTCATATCTTCGCGCCACCGTGTAATATCCTCTATATATTTGCATTCACAGTTTATCAGTTGCATTCACAGTTTATCATTATTATTTTTATTATTGTACATAAATTTTCTAAAGGTTATAAACTATTGTATAGATTGTTAAGCTACTTTTGCTATGGGGTCCATGTCCATGTATAAGAGTAACAATTCAACTAAGTTTCAAGCACAACGGTATGCATAGACCAACAAAAGAAAATTTTCAATCAAAATAAAATATCACTGTTAGGTGAGGAGATTTGCATAGAAATACTTAAAGCTCACTGCAGAGGATTGGGAGAATCTCTAATTTACAGATAAGCGTCCTAAGTATCTGTTTCTCAGTATCCGAATACAAGAAACGACATCGCATGGTGCAATGTCTCCGTAAGATACTAGGTGAAACAAAAGTGCGTGGGAAGGTGAGGACACCCAAGGACGACTGACCGGCAAACAAACCTGATATAAACCCTGTAGCAAGAGAACAACTAGGGTACCATTAACAAGACAATTTACAAGGATCAAGCCCCCAAAACACTAGACGAGCTGAGAAGACGACTACGCCTCGCCTGGGAAAATGTGCTCTAGACACGCTTGAGGTGCTCACGCAATCTAGACCTTAGAAAATGTCAGGAAAAAAAATTAATAAAACAAGTCATTCTGGTTGCTAATGTTTAAATCAATCGATGTAATCAAAATCTATAAGGAATATCATACTAACTTTCAAAATGGTAGTGTAATAATAACTAAAATTTAAGCGAATAAAGAATCGGAACGAACGTTTGAAACAAACTGTAGTCTCGGCAGATGTAAACTAAGCTCGAGCTGTGGGAAGAGAGTAGCTAAAGATAAGCCTATTCAAGAGATTTGCTTAGGTGTTTGTATTCGTTTCCAAGACTAACTAGTCTCGCGCCTACTAATAATAATTATACAAAGGTTTTTACTTACACACTCTGTTTTTATAAGAATGTTGTTTTCCCGGCCCAGGCTGAATATTCTTATTTTCTTAGGCCGATTTTAGTCTGAAAGTATTTTTGTGTTATTCTTAAATTATTGCTTATGACATTTCCGTTTTACAATATATTGGGGTATCAATTATAGTTAGTGCAGGTTATTTCGTTTTGTTGGCTAGGGGAGTTCCCGTTTAGTTAAGTTAAACACATTATGTATTGAGTTTATAGATTTTCAACACACAATATTATATCCTGTTCAAAATCTCAGCCTGAGGTTTATTCTTAAGATACTGCAAAGTTCAGCCTCGATATTCTTATAAAATGATGTATATGAATGAAAAATGAATATGCAGAAATTCTCGCAATCGTCTGTGGAAAACAGTCTGTTCGCTCAATATTTGCTCTTATCTTCCGTTTCCTAGAGATGGTCATAGTTCTTAAGGATCGCTTCTTTGTGGAAGCAGTTCTGAATTATATTCTCGCTGAGAAACTTCAAACGGCGCTCTTGGCGCCGTGGACCACGATGGCCAATGGTCTTGCACGCGTCTAGTTAACCTTCGCCCGAAATACCACCTACATGTATTAACGGGGCCGACTTAGTTCTCTTAGCCAACATGTTATTGGGCTCCATATATGGTCGGGTCAAATCGATCCAAAGATGCTGATCTCGTCAAACGGATATTCTCATCTACTTCTTGTATGATCACCACCCTATCTTTCGGTGGACCAGAAAAAGCTCTAAATTTAATCTTTTCTGAGCTTTCTTCGCAAAACATGCGTGGCTTCGATCACGCAACGATTCTTAGTCCCAGTTTCCACGGTCTCCGTAAGGAACGCCTGGCTCAATGACGCCCCTTTTGTGTCCTAAATACAAAGAAAAACGCGTTGCAGATTATGACTCTCCCTGCTTACGCAAGCGAGACTAATTAGGTAACCTGCAAATTTTCAGCCGAATATCTCAAAGGTTGCGCTTGCAACGGCTGCCAAAAATTAGAAGGATTTGTATTAGAAAAACAACTTTTGCCACCCAGTCACGCTTGAATAGTTTTCCATACAAATCCGAAAATCCGAAAGTTGATCACGTGAACAACTAATGCAAACAGGCCCATTATAACAAGACAAAAGAGGCACTGGTTTCAACCAAAAAATCGAAAAAGTCAGCAGTGCTGATCAAGATACTTTTTAGATTTACTAGCTTTTTTAAGTTTCAAAACTTCCTAAAAATCGAATCCAGTTCAGTACAAGGGAGGCTTATATCCCAGCGGACTGATAAGCTACGTTGTAAGCTAAAGTGGTCTATTGGGCACGCCTGCTTTTTTTCACCATATTTTTCCAATCTACTTTGTCGTTACATTGCCGTTTCATTTTTTTTAAATCTGGATTTTCTCCACTTTTTCACGGAAATGAAGACACACTGTTCGTTTGGTCAAAGGAATTGCCAAATTATTGAGGAAGATCAGAACGATGGGTGAACAGGTGGTTAAAAATAAAGTCTTTCTTTCGAAGACAAACCAAGGAGCAGACAGCCGACTGTTTTGACGAACTGTGCGAGAAACGTATAATCGAATTAATTAAAAGCTATGTATAAGCGTAATAAGTTAAGTTTCAAGCACAACGGTATGGATCGACCAACAAAAGGGACTGAAAGCTTTCAAGCGATAGAAATATCCCTGTTAAGTGGGAAGCGAAGAAGTGATGGTTAAGATTTGCCTGGAAATACTTAAAGCTCACTGCAGAGGATTGGGAGAAAGACTAATTTACAGATGAGCGTCCTAAGTATCTGTTTTTCTGTATCCGAATAAAAGAAACGACGTCGTATGGTGCAATGTCTCCGTGGGATACTAGGTGAAACAAAAGTGCGTGGGAAGATGATGATCCCCAGGGACGACTGACCGGCAAACTTACGACTGACCGTCAAACTTACCTTGTAGCAAGAGAACAACTGGGGTACCATTAACAAGACAATTTACAAGGATCCAGCCCCCCAAACACTGGACGAGCTGAGAAGACGACTACATTGTAGGCTTCGCCTGGAAAAATGTGCTCTAGACACGCTTAAGGAGCTCACCCAATCTATGCCCCGAAGCTTAGAAAATTTCAGGAAAAAAATTATAATAAAAAAAATCAGTCTGGTTGCGAATGTTTAATTCATTCAATGTAATCAAAATCTATAAGGAACATCATACTAAATTTCGAAATGGTAGTCTGATAACAACTAAAATTTAAGCGAACAATAAATCGGAACAAACGTTTGAAACAATTTGTAGTCTCGGCAGATATAAACTAAGCTCGAGCTGTGGGAAGAGAGTAGCTAAAGATATGCCTATTCAAGAGACCTGCTTCGGTGTTTATATTCGTTTCCAAGTAATAATTAAACAAAGGTTTTTACTTAAGCAACTTTATTTTTGTAAGAGCGTTGTTTTTCGGGCCCGGGCTGAATATTCTTACTTTCTTTGGCCGATTTTAGGCTGAAAGTATTCTTGTATTATTCTTAAATTATAGCTTATCACATTTTCGTTTTAAAATATATTGGGGAATCAATTATAGTTAGTGCAGGTTTTTTCGTTTTGTTGGCTTGGGGAGTTACCGTTTAGAGAAAGGAGTAAGTAAAAAACAGTTTGTATTGAGTTTATAGATTTTCAACACACAAAATTATATCCTGTTCAAAATCTCAGCCTGGCGTTTATTCTTGAGGTATTCTTAAAACTTCGCAAAGTTCAGCCTCGATATTCTTATGAAACACATTCTTATAAAAAATGAACGCGCTGAAATTCTTTCAATCGTCTGTGGAAAATAATCAGTTCGCCCGATATTAGCTCTTATCTTAAGTTTTCTAAGATGGTCATCGTTTTTAAGGATCCGTTTTTTGTAGCAGCAGCTCTGAATCGGCATATTATCGCTGAAAAACTTCAAACGGTGCTCTTGGCACCATGGACAACGATGGCCGATGGTCTTACACGCTTCTAATTAATCTTCGCCCGAAATACCACTTACACACGGAGCCGACATAGTTCTCTTAGCCAACATTTTATAGCGATCGATATAAGATCGATCACTAAGTCGGGTCAAATCATAGGATGCTGATCTCGTCAAACGGATATTTTCATCTACTTCTTGTATGATCACCACCCTATCTTTCAGTGGACCACATACATCTGTTCGTTCGGTGAATCGCACTATGTCCACTGCATTCTTTGGTTTGGGTTTTTTCACACTCAACAACTCGAGAACAACTTTCTTAAAACGACAGTCTCTGTAACAGTAAATGAGTGGATTAACTAAAGAGTTAGAAAGCACTAGTGTTTCCACTACGCGCCATAACGACATTTTACGAAGTACGGGGAAAAATGTTCCCAATAAAGGGAGAGAAACAGCAGGAACGAATGAAAGAAACAAGGCTGCCGTAACAAGAGCAGTGGTCTTCGCAACTCTGTATTCTGTTTTCAATAACACCAACACGCTGACCTGAAGAATCTGATTGAATTTTCGCTTGCGAATTTCAAGGTACACCATGACGTAAAAATATACGATGAGTGCCAGGATAAAACATGTTGAAACAAGAAAAACTACTACAATAGTCCGCCCACTGACCGCTAAGGAAATAAGGAATGGGCTCAAAACGAAAACTGGTCCTGAAATCCAAGCTATCGCCGCCAGCTTTTTCAATCGGCTTTTAGTCAGTAAATCTCAGTAGTCCCTCCATTTTCGAATGGCCACGTATCTCTCCCATGCAACCAGCGCCAGATGGAACAGCGAACAAAATGTTAGAGTGAGTGATAAACAGGCTGTTGCCACGTCGAGCGTGCAAATGTGCTGAGCAGCAAGAATTTGATAGGGAAGTAAGAATCCATCTATAGCAGACAACGGTATACATATAGCACCTACAAGAAGGTCCGTAACGGCCATACTTGACAACAGGATATTGGAAAGTTTCTGTAGTTCTCTCCTTTTCATAATTGCTATGATAACTAACGCGTTCAAAAGAACTGCGGCGGGTGAGATTATAGATGCGAAAGCGGCAAATATCCAAGGAGAAATGGTGTCATGCACATTCCATATTAACTGCGGAATATGTGGGCAATAAAACACTGACTTGGTCGTATTCGATGACATGATGGACGTTTCTGTCCGGTTGTGGTCCATGATGTAGCCGTTCTAAAACTGACTGACAAACAAGAACTTTCAAGCTATGAAGTACGCACACCTTGGCTTCAACTAATTTTGCAAGGTTTCAAAATTTAATTCCATCTTTAGAATTAACAAAGGATTCAAATCTTTTATATCTCAAACAAAAATGTTATAAGGCAATTACACGGATAGCTCATTATATATCTCAAGTGAATTCCAAATCAAACTCTCTTATTAGTAAGATTACAATCAAATTCAGATACTGGAAAAAAAACACACACACACAAACAGTGTACGCCATTGTTACTCCGCGGTATGGGTACAAAATTAAAGAAAACAATCCAGTCAAACCTGACCAGCTGCAAAGTGGCCATGGGTTTAAACTAAATTGTACATCAACTAATTATTTTTGTTATTTCTTAATGTGGCCGAAAAAATTGGTAATAGTTCCGCGGTAATGACGACACTGATAAGAATGCATGCACTAAAACTATGTCAGACGACTTTATTAGGACTTCATTAAAGGTAAAACCACCTAATAAAATACAACAAACAAAGCCACAGGAGAGCAGAGCACGGAAGCTTGAAATTGGAATCGCACTTAAGATGGCCAGGATTGTTTCCAAGTTCCAAACTAGAACCATCGCTTACAGCACTTTACAGAAAAGTTTTGCTAAAATAGGACACAGCACCTACATATATATATGCACTTAGTATTCACCAAATCAGTGGACAGCAATTTTCGCGCGTTCTGATTGGCTCCCGTAACTCGAAATATCCTTGGATATCCACTGTTTTGTAATTGTGGAATATGTGGGCAATAAATCACTGACTTGGTCGTACTCGTTGACATGATGGACGCTTCTGTCTGGTTGTGGTCCATGATGAAGCCTTGCTAAACTGACTGACTGACAAACAAGCACTTTCAAGCCATGACGTACGCACACCTTGGCTTCAACTGATTTTGAAAGCTTTCACACTTAATTCCATTATAAATTTTTACGATTATTAAAAGATTTAAAACTTTTATTTGACACCTCAAAGAAAAATGTCAAATGACAATTACACGGACAGCTTATTATCGCTCTTAACTTAATTCCAAATTTAACACTCTCATTAGTAAGGACTCAGTTTGCTAATCAATACATTACATTGTTGCTTCGTGCTATCACCAAGAAATTAATGATTACAATCTAATTCAAATACTGGAAAAAACAAACAAACAAACAGTGTACGCCACTGTTACTTAGCGGTATGGGTAGAAAATTAAAGAAAACAATCCAATCAAACCTGACCAGCTGCTTAGTGGCAATGGGTTTAAATTAACTTGAACACCAACTTCTCCTCTTTTTTTATTTCTTAATGTGGCTAAAATAATTGGCAATAGTTCGTAATGACGTTGCTGATAAGGATGAATGCAAAAAAAACTACGACGGACTTAATCCGGACTTCACTAAAAGTAAAACCACTCGATAAGATACAACAAACTAAGCCACACGAAAGCAGAGCACATAAAACTTGAAAATCGAATCGCACTTAAGATGGCCAGGATTGTTTCCAAGTTCAAAACTAGGACCATCGATTACAGCACTTTACAGGAGAGTGTCGCTTAAATACAACACAGCACCCATACATAAATGTACGTGCCGCGCTTTCATAGGCGCCAAGATAAAAAGAAAATTCAGTTCAAGAGAGAGCGTTTCATTCCGGCTCTCTTGACAATGAAAAAAAAATATTTGCAAAACAAAACTTCACTCTAACACTTTAACGAGAGCAAAAAAAATACCACCCTTTAATCAATACCTCTTTTCTGGACCGGTTTCCCACCAACTGGAATTGACAAAAATGGCCAAAAGGACATTTCCAACATAAAAGGCAAACTGTACTGCCGTTTCAATGCAATGAAGCTTCCTTTTTCATGGCTAATTGACATCTATTTGATGTTTTCCAAAACTGAACCTATACTTATAAAATATATATCGTACGAAATTTAATAAAGTTACTTTCCCACAGAAAAAAATTAACACAAATGATTAAAAATTGTCTCTATCCTCTATGGTACCTGCCGAATTTACAAAAAGAAAAAAAAAAAGAAGAATAGATAAGAAACTTCTGCTTGCAAAAACCTGTTTAACCAAGTCTAAGTTGTTCAAGAAATTTGAAGAATTTTCAATACGTTCGGAGAGTAATTTAACGATATTCAAGAAATTCTTGGATTTTTAACGATTTTTGGTTTTTCGAACGGACTTCTCAAGGCCAGCTGTTTGGTAACAGTAAGATTTCTAAATTTGCATTTCCTTATTGAAGTGGAAAAATATAATACACCCACGTGATTAAAATATCCTGTCGATTCTCTGGGCCCAAAAAAGAAAAAGTATCTCTTTACAACGTACGTCCATATTTAATAGTTATATATTATCAATCATTTAGAACTGTCTTATGTGATTGGTGGATTTCGATCCGTTTTGTGCGTTTCTGTGTTTCAAGATTCGTTGCTTGTGATCGTAATTATGATTGACGCAGCGAAAAAAGCAATTGTGAAGGCGGCTTTTGAACTTTAGAGTTCGCAGGTTTGTCAAAAGCGCACTAAAACAAGAACGTTCTTACAGCGACATCACTCTCGCTTGCTTGCAGATTAGAACGATAAATGAGGAGACGATTACTTCTACACGAATCTGGATTTACTCGCTAAAGGTTTTTTACTTCCTACTTTACCGAAGACGATACTTTTTGTTTCTGAATTGATTTAGTGCGAGTGTTACCGACGACCGGAAATACGTCTGCAGTCGCAGACCATACGCGTGTATAAAAACACGAAAATTCAAGGGCCTCGATTCCAGAGAAATTACATCATTGAAAGAGATCAAAAAAGTGATTTACATGGCAAAATAAGAAGGATTTGATTTGCCACCCAGTCACGTGATCAACTAATGGAAAAGGCCCATTATAACAAGACAAAAGAGTCACTGCTTTTCACCCAAAAATCGAAAAAGCCATAGCAGTGCTGATCAAGATACTTTTTGAATTTACTCGCTTTTTTAAGTTTCAAAACTTCCAAAAATTCGAATTCAGTTCAGTACAAGGGAGGTTTATATCCCGGGGGACTGATAAGCTAAGTTATAAACTAACATGGTCTTTTGTGAACGCGAGCGTGCCTTTTTTCAGAATATATTTCCTTTCTACTTTGTAGTCTTCTTTGCATTGCCGTTTCATTTTTTTCTGGATTTTCTCTACTTTTTCACAGAAATGAAGGCACACTATTCGTTCGGTCTAAGGAATTGCCAAATTGTTGAGAAAGATCAGAACGATGGGTGAACAAGTGGTTAAAAATATACTCTTTCGAAGACAAACCAAGGAGCAGACAGCCTACTGTGTTAATAAACTTTGCGAGAAACGTATAATCGAATTAATTAAAAGCTATTTATAAGCGTAATAATTGAACTAAGTTTCAAGCACAACGGTATGGATCGACCAACAAAAGAAAGTTTTCAAGCAATACAAGATATCACTGTTAAGTGCGGAGCGAAGATTGAAGGGATGGTTAAGATTTGCCTAGAAATACTTAAAGCCCACAGCAGAGGATTGGAAGAATCTCTTATTTACAGAAGAGCGTCCAAAGTATCTGCTTTTCAGTATCCGAATACAAGAAACGAAATCGTATGGTGCAATGTCTCCGTGGGATACTAGGTGAAACAAAACCACGTGGGAAGTTGAGGATACCCAAGGATGACTGACCGGCAAACTTACCCAATCTGAACCCTGTAGCAAGAGAACAACTGGGTTACCATTATCAAGACAATTTACAAGGATCCAACCCCAACACACTAGGCGAGCTAAGAAGACGACTACGCCTCGCCTGGAAAAATGTGCTCTAGACACGCTTAAGGAGCTCGCGCAATCTATGCCCCAGCGCTTAGAAAATATCAGGACAAAAATAATAAAAAAAGTACTTCCGGTTGCTAATGTTTAATTCATTCAATGTAATCAAAATCTACAAGAAACATCATACACTCTTTTTTTTTTATAAGAATATATTTTGTAAGAATATCGAGGCTGAAATTTGCGAAATTTTAAGAATATTTTAAGAATAAAGCCGAGGCTGAGATTTTGAAAAGGATAGATATAAAATACAATACAATTTTATGTTTTTAACTTAACCGTATAAAATTATTCCTTTCTCTGAACGGCGAAACTAGCCAACAAAACGAAAAAACCTGCACTAGCTAGAGCAAAATGTTCAACGCTAATGACATGATAAACGGTACATGTAATACATATGTACAGTATTCAGCACAAAAGACATAAACTAAACCGCAAAAAAGTATTCTGACAAATTCATAAGCTAAAATTTAAGAATAATACAAGAATCTTTTCAGCCTAAAATCGGCAGAAAAATAAGAATATTCAGCCTGGCCGGAAAAACAACATTCTTATAAAAAAAAAGAGTGTACTAACTTTCGAAATGGTAGTCTGATAACAACTAAAATTTAAGCGAACAATAAATCGGAACAAACGTTTGAAACAATTTGTAGTCTCGGCAGATATAAACTAAGCTCGAGCTGTGGGAAGAGAGTAGTTAAAGATATGCCTATTCAAGAGATCTGCTGAGGTGTTTGTATTTGTTTCCAAGACTAACTAGTCTCGCGACTGCTAATAATAATTAAACAAAGGTTTTTACTTACGCAACTTTAGTTTTGAAAGAGCGTTGTTTTTCGGGCCCGGGCTGAATATTCTTATTTTCTTTGGCCGATTTTAGGCTGAAAATATTCTTGTATTATTGTTAAATTATTGCTTATGACATTTCTGTTTTAGAATATATTGGGGTATCAATTATCCTTAGTGCAGGTTTTTTCGTTTTGTTGATTAGGGGAGTTCCCGTTTGGTTAAGTTAAGTTAAAAACATTTTGTATTGAGTTTATAGATTTTCAACACACAATATTATATCCTGTTCAAAATCTCAGCCTGAGGTTTATTCTTAAGATACTGCAAAGTTCAGCCTCGATATTCTTATAAAATGCTGATTTTAGGCTGAAAGTATTCTTGTATTATTGTTAAATTATTGCTTATGACATTTCTGTTTTAGAATATATTGGGGTATCAATTATCCTTAGTGCAGGTTTTTTCGTTTTGTTGATTAGGGGAGTTCCCGTTTGGTTAAGTTAAGTTAAAAACATTTTGTATTGAGTTTATAGATTTTCAACACACAATATTATGCTCTGTTCAAAATCTCAGCCTGGGATTTTTCTCAAGATGTTCTTAAAATTTCGCAAATTTCAGCCTCGATATTCTTATAAAATATATTCTTATAAACAATGAATATGCTGAAAGTCTCTCAATCGTCTGTGGAAAATAGTCTGTTCGCTCGATATTTGCCCTCTGCCCTTATCTTCCGTTTCCTAAGATGGTCATCGTTCCTAAGGATCGCTTCTTTGTGGAAGCAGTTCTGAATCATATTCTCGCTGAAAAACTTCAAACGGCGCTCTTGGCGCCATGGAACACGATGGTCAATGCTCTTGCACGCGTCTAGTTAATCTTCGTCCGAAATGCCACCTACATGTATATACGGAGCCGACATACTTCTCTTAGCCAACATTTTACTGGGCTCGATATAAGGTCGATCACAAAGTCGGGTCAAATCATAGGATGCTGATCTCGTCAAACGGATATTTTCATCTACTTCTTGTATGATCTCCATCCTATCTTTCAGTGGACCATCTACATCTGTTCGTTCAGTGAATCTCACTATGTCCACTGCATTCTTTGGTTTAGGTTTTTTAACCCTCAATAACTCAAGAACAACTTTCTTAAAACGACAGTCTCTATAACAATAAATAAGTGGGTTAACTAAAGAGTTAAAAAGCACTAGTGTTTCCACTGCACGCCATGCCGACATTTTACGAAGTACGGGAAAAACTATTCCCAATAAAGGGAGAGAAACAACAGGGACGAAGGAAAGAAACAAGGCTGCCGTAACCAAAGCAGTGGTCTTCGCAACTCTGTATTCTGTTTTCAATAACACTAACACGCTGACCTGAAGAATCTGACTGAATTTTCGCTTGCGAATTTCAAGGTACACCATGACGTAAAAATATACGATGAGTGCCAGGATCAGACATGTTGAAACAAGAAAAACTACCAACGTAGTCCGTCCACTGACCGCTATGGAAATAAGGAAAGGGATCAAAACGAAAGCTGTTCCTGAAATCCAAGCTATTGCTGCCAGCTTTATTAAGCGGCTTTTAGTCACTGTATCTCTGTGGTACCTCCATTTTCGAATGGCCACGTATCTCTCCCATGCAATCAGCACCAGATGGAACAGCGAACAAAATGTCAGAGTGAGTGAGAACCACACTGTTGCCACGTCGAGCGTGCAAATATGCTGAGCAGCAACAATTTGATAGGGAAGTAAGAATCCATCTATAGCAGACAACGGTATACATATAGCACCTACAAGAAGGTCCGTAACGGCCATACTTGACAACAGGATATTGGAAAGTTTCTGTAGTTCTCTCCTTTTCATAACTGCTATGATAACTAACGCGTTCAACAGAACTGCAGCGGGTGAGATTATAGATGCAACAGCGGCAAATATCCAAGGAGAAATGGAGTCATGCACATCCCATATTAATTGTGGAATATGTGGGCAATAAAACACTGAGTTAATCGTATTCGATGGCATGATGGACGCTTCAAGACTTCCTAAAACTGACTGACAAACAAGCACTTTCAAGCTATGAAGTATGCACACCTTGGTTTCAACGTAACTCTTTACGGTTATTAAAAGATTTAAATCTTTTATATCTCAAACAAAAATGGCAAAAGACAATTACACGGATAGCTCATTATCGATCTTAACTTAATTCTAAATTTAACACTCTCATTAGTAAGACCACAGGTACCCAATAGGTGAAGGTACCAGGACTCAGTTGGTTAATCAATGCATTACTCTTGCTTAGTGCTATCACTAGGAAATTAATGATTACAATCTAATTCAGATACTGGAAAAAAAAATAAATAAACAAACAAACACACAGTGTACGCCATTGTTACTTAGCGATATGGGTAGAAAAGTAAAGAAAACAATCCAATCAAACCTGACCAGCTGCGAAGTAACAATAGGTTTAAATTGAATTGCACATCAACTAATCCTCTTTTTTACTTCTTACTTAAGCTAGCTAAAATAATTGGCAATAGTTCGTAATGACGTTGCTGATAAGAATGAATGCAAAAACACTAGGACGGAATTTATGTCGACTTCACTAAAGGTAAAACCACTCAATAAGATAACACAAACTAAGCCACAGAAAATCAGAGCACGGAAGCTTGGAATCGCACTTAAGATGGCCAGGATTGCTTTCAAGTTTAAAACTAGGACCATCGATTACAACACTTTAAAGGAGAGTGTTGCTAAAATAGGACACAGCAACCTTATACAGAAATACGTACCGCGCTGTCATAGGCGCCAAGAAAATTCAGTTCAAGAGAGGGCGTTTCATTCCGGCTTTCTTGACAATGAAAAAAAAAATTGCAAAACAAAACTTCATTTTAACAATTCGGCGAGAGCAAAGAAACCGCCTTTTAATCAAATCTTTTTTTGGACCTGTTTCCCGTCAATTAGAATTGATAAAAATCGTCAAAAGGGCATTTCCAACATGAAAGGCGTATTGTACTGCCGTTTCAATGCAACGAAGCTTCCTTTTTCATGGCGAATTTAAATCTATTTGATGTTTTCCAAAACTGAACCTATACTTATAAAATATATATAGTACGAAATTTAATAGAGTCACTTTCCCACAGAAAAAAATTAATACAAATGTTTGAAAATTGTCTCTATCCTTTATGGTACCTGCCGAATTTACAAAAAGAAAAGAAAAGAAGAATAGATAAGAAACTTCTGCTTGCAAAAAGCAGTTTAACCACGTCTAAGTTGTTCAAGAAATTTCAAGAATTTTCAATAATTAGAGGAGTACGGTCGGAGAGTAATTTAACGATATTCAAGAAATTCTTGGATTTTTAACAGGACCTGGTTTTTCGAACGGACTTTTCAGGGCCAGCTGCTTGGTAACAGTAAGATTTCTAAATTTGAATTTCATTATTGAAGTGGAAAAATATAATACACGCACTTGATTAAAATATCCTGTCGATTCTCTGGGCCCAAAAAAGTAAAAGTATCTCTTTAAAACGTCCGTCCATATTTAGTAGTTATATATTATCAATCATTTAGAACTGTCTTATGCAAGAGGAGGTTTCCTTAAATAATATTAGTGAACTTCCTTAGAAAATGTCTGGAAAAAAAATAATAAAAAAAAGTCATTCTGGTTGCAAATGCTTAATTCATTCAATGTAATCAAAATATATCGTATCGCGCAGATCGGAGCGAACTTTTGAAACAATTTGTAGTCTCGACAGATATAAATTAAACACGAGTTGTGGGAAGACTATTCCAAAGATTTTCTTAGATACGGTGTTTGTACGCGTTTCCAAGACTAACTAGTCTTGCGCCTGCTGATAATAATTATGCAAAGGTTTTTTTTACATGTAGTTACACACTCTCTTTTACAAGAATGTTCGTGCATATCAATACATGAATATTTTATAAGAATGTTGCTGAATATTCTTATTGTTTTCGCCAATTTTAGGCTGAAAGCATTCTTGTGTTATTCCTAAATTATAGCTTATGACATTTCCGTTTTAGAATATATTGGGGTATCAATATAGTTAGTGGAGGGTTTTTTTTTTTCGTTTTGTTGGCTAGGGAAGTTGCCGTTTAGAGAAAGGAGTAAGTTAAAAACATATTCCATTGTGTATGTTTATAGATTTTCAGCACACAAAATTATATCCTTTTCAAAATCGCAGCCTGAGGTTTATTCTTAACATATTCTTAAAATTTCCTAAATTTCAGCCTTGATATTCTTATAGAATATATTCTTGTATATAAAAAAAATCTACTGAAATTCTCTCAATCGTGTGTGGAAAATAGTCTGTTCGCTCGATATTTGCTCTTATCATCCGTTTCTTAAGATGGTCATCGATCTTAAGGATCGGTTCTTTGTGGCAGCAGGTCTGAATCATATTCTCGCTGAGGTTCTTCAAACAGCTTCGTGCTATGGACCACGATGGCCGATGGTCTTACACGCTTCTAGTTAGTCTTCGTCCGAAATGCCACTTACATGTATATACGGAGTCGACATACTTCTCTTAGCCAACATTTTATTGGGCTCGATGTAAGGTCGATCACAAAGTCGGGTCAAATCCAAAGATGCTGATCTCGCCAAACGGATATTTTTATCTACTTCTTGTACGATCTCCATCCTATCTTTCAGTGGACCATCTACATCTGTTCGTTCAGTGAATCTCACTATGTCCACTGCATTCTTTGGTTTAGGGTTTTTAATCCTCAATAACTCGAGAACAACTTTCTTAAAACGACAGTCTCTGTAACAGTAAATAAGTGGATTAACTAAAGAGTTAGAAAGCACTAGTATTTCCACTACGCGCCACGACGTCATTTTTTGAAGTACGGGAAAAGCTCTTCCCAGAAAAGGGAGAGAAACAACAGGAACGAAGGAAAGAAACAAGGCTGCCGTAACCAAAGCAGTGGTCTTCGCAACTCTGTATTCTGTTTTCAATAACACTAACACGCTGACCTGAAGAATCTGATTGAATTTTCGCTTGCGAATTTCAAGGTACACCATGACGTAAAAATATACGATGAGTGCCAGGATCAGACATGTTGAAACAACAAAAACTGCAATGTTAGTCTTTCCATTGGTCGCTGTGGAAAAAACAAATGGGCTCACAACGAATACTGGTCCTGAAGTCCAAGCTATCGCTGCCAGCTTTTTCAAGCGGCTTTTAGTCAGTGTATCTCTGTGGTACCTCCATTTTCGAATGGCCACGTATCTCTCCCATGCAATCAGCACCAGATGGAACAGCGAACAAAATGTCAGAGTGAGTGACAACCACACTGTTGCCACGTCGAGCGTGCAAATATGTTGAGCAGCAACAATTTGATAGGGAAGTAAGAATCCATCTATAGCAGATAACGGTATAGATATAGCACCTATAAGAAGGTCCGTAACGGCCATACTTGACAACAGGATATTGGAAGGTTTCTGCAGTTCTCTCCTTTTCGTAACTGCTATGATAACTAACGCGTTCAAAAGAACTGCAGCGGGTGATATTATAGATGCAACAGCAGCAAATATCCAAGGAGAAATGGTGTCATGCACGTCCCATATTAATCGTGGAGCATGTGGGCAATAAAACAATGACTTGGTCGCATTTGATGAGACGATGGTCGTTTCTGTCTGGTTGTGGTCCATGATAAAGCCTTGCTAAAACTGACTGGCAAACAAGCACTTTCAAGGCATGAAGTATGCACACCTAGGCTTCAACTGTTTTTGAAAGGTTTCAGAAGTAGTTTTATTATAAATCTTCAGGATTATTAAAGGATTTAAATTTCTTATATCTGAAACAAAAATGTCATAAGACAATTACGCGGATAGCTTATTATCGATCTTAACTTAACTCCAAATTTAACATTGTCATTAGTGAGATTACAATCAAATTCAGATACTGGAAAAATAAACAAACAGTACTAGTGTACGCAATTTTTACTTAGCGGTATGGGTAGAAAATTAAAGAAAACAATCCAATCAAACCTGACCAGCTGCTATATAAGTGGCAATGGGTTTAAATTAAATTGTACTTCAACTAATCCTCTTTTTTATTTCTTACTGAATGTGGCCGAAATAATTTGCAATAGTACGTAATGACGTCAGTGATAAGAATGAATACAATGAAAGTACGACAGACTATCCGCACTTCATTAAAGGTAAAACCACTTGATAAGATACAACAAACTAAGCCACAGGAAAGCAGAGCACGTAAGCTTGACTGAAATGGAATCGCACTTACGATAGCCAGGATTGTTTCCAAGTTCAAAACTAGAACCATCGTCTACAGCACTTTACGGAAAAGTGTTGCTAAAATAGGACACAGCACCCACATATATAAGCACATATCGCGTAGCACATATCGTATCATAGGCGCTAAGATAAAAAAAAATTCAGTTCAAGAGAGAGCGTTTCATTCCGGCTTTCTTTACAATGAAAAAATATATTCATTTGCGAAACAAAACTTTAATTCAACACTTTGGCAACGGCAAGAAAACCGCCTTTTAACCAAATCCTTTTTTTGGACCTGTTTTCCGCCAATTAGCATTGATAAAAATGGCCAAAAGGATATTTTCAACATTAAAGGCGTATTGTACTGCTGTTTCAATGCAATGAAGCTTCCTTTTTAATGGCGAATTTAAATCTATTTGATTTTTTCCAAAAACATATACTTATACGGAAAGAAAATTAATACAAATGTTTGAATTCTGTTCAAATTGTGTCTGTCTTTTACGGTAACTGCCGAATTTACAAAAACAAAAGAAAAGAAGACAAGACAAGACAGTTCTGCTTGCAAAAAGCTGTTTAACCACGTCTACGTTATTGAAGAAATTTAAAGAATTTTCAATAATTTAAGGAGTACGGGAGTAATTCATTCAACGATATTCAAGAAATTCTTGGATTTTAAACGAGACCTGATAGTTTTTCGAAGACTTTTCAAGGTCAGCTGTCTGGTAATAGTAAGATTTCTAAATTTGCATTTCATTATCGAAGTGGAAAAATATAATACACCCACTTGATTAAAATATCCTGGCAATTCGCTGGGCCCAAAAAAGTATAAGTATTTCTTTATGGAGGGGCTTACCTCCGAGGGGGCTTATAACCGGACTAAAAAAAGCGTTTCGAAACGACAGTGTTCATACAAAAAATTGAAACCATTTTTCAAGGACTTTTCAAGTATCACATTTGATTTTCAAGGACCACCTAGGAATATATTTTCACAGATTGTACAAAAGTGCACATTCCCAGTCTATTCTTATAAGGCTTTAAGACTTGAACTGTTTGCTTCACCAACTTCTCTACATTTTTCAGCTCACTTGTCTTAAATTGACAGTTAATTATTGCATAAAGCATTGAGCACTTTGTGTGAATAACCTTTAAATTCTCTGAGGTGTGATTCATAATTATTGTCTCGGACAACCACAAAAACATCAAAAAACACTTTCCACGCCACTAAATTCAAAGTTGAAGAAAATTTAAGGACCTGTCAAGGAAAAATGGATTTCAAGGACTTTTCAAGATTGTGCGAATCCTGAAGAAGGAACATAGCAGTGCGGATCAAAATACTTTTGGAATTTACTCGTCTCTTTAAGCTTCAAAACGTCGTACAAATCCAGTTCATTTCAATACAATCTAGAGGGGGGGGGGCTTATATACGGGTTAAATGGACAAATAACTGGGTGGGGGGCTTATGAGCGGAAGTTCACGGTATTATAACGAGACAAAAGAGTCACTGCTTTGAACGAAAAAAAAAAATCGAAAATGTCCAAAACTAGACCCGTCCTCGGTTTTTTTCAACTTCTGACTGGGTCCAGTAAGAGAAAATCCGTCAACAAGGCTATAAAATCGCCTTAAAAATCAGTGAAGTTGCCAAGTTTAAAAGTGATTCGTTGACACAAACGTCTGTAAAATTTCGTTTCTTTGTGGAGCAATATCTTAGCTCGCTTTGGACGTATCACCGTTAAACGTGGTAAATGTACTAATTTTAAGACGCTCTATCCAGCAGTGTCAATGAATATTCGCTTACTGGTCTTTACCAAAAGTCGAAAAACCGTGGAGGGGTCTATTTTTGGACTTGTTTTGACTTTTACCTGATGATGTTTAATGACTGCGTGTAATACGATGACTATTACAATCAACAGGTATCCCTAGCATTAAAACGGAGACAAAGTACAAAACAATGAGTAAAAACCAACTGCAAGAGGTCACGATTTACCAAGCACTTAATTCATAATAATTGTTTTCTTTTTCCATTATTCATTATTCCCTACGTTACATTTACACACTGAACTGTGCTCCGCGCACTCGCTTCATTTTGACACAACACCATATTTTAAGCTAGTAAATAATTACAAACGAGGAGTTCATCCAAAAGGGAGGGAGCGGGGGAGGGAGAAAGATTTCACTGCGTGATCATCCACGTGATTTAGCGAGGTATAAAATAGATACCAGCTCCCGGCCCAGGGAAAGCAGCTGAAAAATTTCTTCGGGGCAGCTAAACAAGTAAAGCGGCATTGACATTTGCCTCCCAAGCAGGCGTTTTCAGGGAGCTCGTACTCGTATATAGATCTACTACCTTTTGGAAGTCGTTACCTAGCAACATTCGAAACTCGCTCTCCCTTTCCCAGTTTTAACTGTCACTAAAACATGTTTTATTAGAAAAGTCAGGGCTAGAGGGTTAATACTGTCTTTGTTCTATTTTAACTAGATGTTTTTATTTCTTATCTATTGTTTTATCACTGTTGTAAATTCTTTTACCTCATTGTAATGTTAATACTTGTAAACTGATTCTGAAACCCTTTTGTTGGAGAATCAATAAAGTCATTTGTATTTGTATTTGTATTTTTCGTTTGCCGAGGACGTGATTCTAAATCTCCTTTGGATGTCGCCAGCTGGCTGACAGCTACAATCATGGACAGAAGTCCTCGGGACAGTAATGCAGTATTCATAATTTTCTGTAATTTCTGTTTTCCGTCATAAAGCCGTGCATCCTTTTCGAAACTTTCTTGCAGGTCCCCCTCCCCCACCCCTTACCTTATACACCGTTGGAACTTGGAAAAATTATGTATAAACGAGTCCAACGTTGCTTGTGGGGTGAGGAGAGGGGTTGGGCCTATGTGAACTGGAAAACGCCCCAGAAATGCAAAAGTGTCCCAAGACTTTTGCCTATGATTGTAGCTTTTTCGGGTTTCAACCTATTGCATAAAGGAAGTAACGCGAAATTAAATAAAACTCTTGAAAAGTCATCACACTGAAAAGCGTAACTAAAATAACGAACGCCAAGCGATGCAAATTAATGATTTCAAACTCACCTTTATATCTTCAGAGATGCTGTCCGTCTTATAGAATCCAACCCACAATGCGTTGTTGATAAAGTGATTTAAGGAAGACGGTCGAGGCAAACTCTGAAGACGAAAGAAAATAGGAGTTTTGTTTTAGAAGTCTGGCAGCTCTACGAAGTTTCAAAAACCTATTTGCCCTTGAAGTGAAGCAGGTGCCATTGAACATTATTCGGTTTTGCATGAATCTTAGTCGGTGTAGGACTGTTTAGGGACCATTAGCGCTTCTTTTTTTGCCTGTTACAGTGGAATCTCGATATAACGAAGGGCCAAGGGACTGGCAAAGTTTGTTCGCTATACCGAGGTTCTTTTTCAAATACTTGACTATTACTGGGGTAAAGAAAATCCTTCGTTATACCGAGGACTTCGTCATATAGAGGATCGTTATATCGAGGTTCCACTGTACGAGTACAATAGGCCAGTTTCGAGTTGCCCTAAAGCGAGGCTAAGTGCGAGGCTATTCAAATGTTAATGCTCATGCAAAAAAAACTCATTTTCAAAACAAGGGTTTTGAAATTAGCCTCGTTTTGAAAGCGACCGTTTTTGGAACTAGGAAATGCCTGTTGTTAAATTTGCCTCCCATAACAGTCCCAGAGTGCAATGCAACACACCTCGGACACAGTCTCAAGACCCAGCCTGAAAGTGGCCAACAGGTCCTTTACATCAGCTCACGTGAACCGCCATGGTCGTTGAAATTGCCATCGCAAAATAACGACTCAGAGACTCCACTAAAATCCTCGCCAAAAGCTTTGGGGATGCTTCCCTCTTCTCTCTTGTTTTTGTGTTGATTGTGCAAGTAACCAGCGACGCACATTCCTAAACACGACCTAAACAAGGCTCCCCCACTCCATCCCCCTAAACAAAATGGATGTCAAAAACCAGAGTTTTTCGCTACTAAAACCCAAAACTGTCCAGGGAGTGGGGGAGTGGAGACGATTTACAATCTTCATTCATGAAAGACAAATTGTCCCAACATTCCTAGACTGTAGCTTAAATGATTTCACAATACCAGGCTGCCTGGGAATGACAAAGGTTTCAAACCTGCTTTTCTTTCTTTTCTCGGTAGGTCCAAGATCTATTCGTATTCAAAAAATTTTTATCCCTGTAAATTAAAACGTTTATACTCACCTGGTCAGTACAATTGTGTTGGAATAAATCCGCCTGCACAAATCTTAGCTGATAAATCATTTTACTCAGAATCACGAGTGAGCTCCAGATTAGAAAGCAGTAGGATAAAGCCCTTTGAAGAAGACGAGACGGCATGGATATGCCAAGCAGGATGATGATAACTGCGTTTATCGCGCACACCTGGAAGAAACAAGCCATGAAAGTAGACGATTATAATAAGGTCAAAATAAGTTTGGCAAATTAAGGAGTGAAGTCAGGCTAGAGTGTATATTACGCGAAATTTTTTCTAACTGAATTTGGTCCAAAGATAAGTTTAATCAACAATAATTTTTGAACTTTAAAAATGTCTCCAAAAAAAGTGTCTTGAATTTTGGGCATCCAAAAACTGCTTTCCCCCTTCAGAATTGTCGCAGAGACTGGGAACGAGTGAAGGATGAAAGAAAGGCTGAAGACGTCATGTGACGCCAGTTTGTTTACTCAGCCTTCTCCCTGATTCTGTTCATTGTTTTGTGTTTTGTGGAATTAGGCGATCTAACTATAACTATCTAACTATAACGAAGGTATAGTGAATTGAAGTAAATGAAGATTCTGAAGATAATTGGGGAGTTTTCGAGAAAGACGATCCTTCGAATTTGCAGCCATCTGGTAAATCAATATATTATGACCTTTTCAAGTTTTCCTTGACCTTAATCTTGCTGTCACTTACAAACGTTTTTAATACTTTCCTTGTTCAGCACACACAAAATCCGGTGTTCGCCAAAATGCGGATCCATCTTACTTTGGCCGTTGGTTGGAGTGAATCGCGAAAAAACCGCTGTAGCCAACTTATTCAGACTATATCGGACTCAGATAAAATATTGACTGCAACTTTAGTGTTCTGAGGATTTTATACTCACTCGATAGCATAATATATACTGTAACCACAATGAGGTAAAGGGGAACATAAAACGAAATCTGACCTGATAGAGCACCACACAGATCAACGTCAAATTCACAATTTTCAACATGTGTAGCTCGCCAACTCTCCATAGAAACACGGTTAACTCGTTATAAAAGTTGGCAATCTTGACAAGTGCCGCAACCAGAAGGGACTTCTGGGTACTCGGCCTATGCTCCCTCGGAGTCTCTGAAGGCGTGGCACCTTCGTGTTGTTGTGAGGTGGAGGGGCCATTCTCGGGTTCTACAGCATTTCTGGCAGACGATTGGTAAGATGTGGAGTGAGGTCTTACTCGCAGATCTATCATGGCCAAAAATGGACGATGGAAGAAGTGTAGTTGTATAACAATGACGATTGAAAAGGCAGTGGGAGTAAGAAGCTCCAGTAGCAGACTGGCTTTGGTGTGTTGACGAAGACCAAGGTTGTACAACCTGACGTCAAACAAAGAAAAGGCAAGTGAATTTCTCTGCAGTTCTCAAAGAAAGTTTACCAGTTGGCCTTACACTTAAAATGGAGTACAACGAACGTCGGTTGCATCTAGGAATGTACACGTGAGAAAAAAAACATGTTCTAATTGGATGCAAACAGGACATGTTTTGCCGCCAAAAAAGCGAAGTTTGGAGTAGGCTCCTGTTGTCGACTTGATTTATTTTAGCTTAACACAATATTCTTTGCAAGAATTCTTGGACGTTAAGAATAATTTCTGGAGGCAAGTGTGCTGCTTCTGAACGAGAAATATGCCTGAACGTTGAGAAAAATGAAATATGAACGGAACGCGCTGATCAAAAACATGTAAACAACTTACCTTAGGCGCGACAGTTTGCTTTAACGGTTGTCAAGTTTCAAATGTTTGGCGGCAAAACACGTCCTGTCAACCACCCTACCAGAACATGTTTTTTTGTCTCGTGTCCACGCTTAGATGCAACCGACGGTACGTAACCTTCTCAGGTGTCAAATGACCAGATTAAGAAACCCATCAGACGTTAAGCGTGAAATTTGAAGCACTATTTTTCTTGTGTCTAGTTTCCAATTATGCGCGACTGAATGAAATCCTAGAACGTGAACACGCTAGTACACAAACTACTGAACAGCAGACTACTCTACTAAGGCAACAGGGCTGTCACTAAGATTTCTAGGAATTGTCTTCATTTTTGTTTCCTATGAGAGTTGCCGGAGATCATTCTTTTAATAGCCGAGGCAAATCCCCTTCCCTGGGGCTTGGGGAATTTTCCTCTTGTTTGCTATGAGGAAGATTGACAGGTTTGTGGGCTACGAACTGTGCTTCTATTCAACAGGTTTGGAAATTAAAAATTTGCCTTCGGGCCAGAAAAGGTTAGCGTTAGATAACATCGAGTGAAGCCAGATTGGACACCTAATGAATTTTACACAACGCATTATTTCCATAATGGAACGAGGTTGGAATGTAGAATGAGGCTAGAATAGCTGAGGAAACCAAAACTACAGAGCGCAAGTTATGGAGAGAACACAGTAGAGAGTTAAGCACTGATCTGCAGTAATTAGGGTTAAGCACTGAACTGTAAACGGTTAGCTTTCAAATATTGCCTGGGGTACGGCATAAGAACATGTATATTTTCAAAATTATTGGATTTGGCAGCTAATCGTGGATGGTGTCGTGGAGATGGATGTCGGCTATAAAGCAAGTGACCCGGGTTCAAAGCATTACAGTGGATTTTTTCTATTTGTTCTTCATGTAATTTTACTGAAAGAAACAATCTGACTTCAGCCGATGTTACCTAATGCTAACCGCCAGAAAAGTTCCCGGGCCTATCGAGAAACGGGCCCCAGGGCCCTTAGTGACAGCCCTGCTGATGCGTCTTAAACACATACAGTAGGTGAGGGTGCTCACAACTTAAGATCCTCTCAACGACAGCCATTAGCCACTCACACCTATCACTAAAATTGCTCTGTCAATACTAAAGAAGGTGGTAACACAAACATTTTTATGCTATCGATGTAACCCTAAGTGTGTCCTTTTGGATGAAAGTCACGGAGCATAACTTCCGCGCTGTTGTATCCAAACCGGTATGCGCTGAAACCTGAGATTGAAATCCACTTCGTAAAAAGGAGAAACATTAAAACAATACATGGTCATCACTACTGATTATTAGGACAAAAAACCACCGTCGAAAGTGTAGTCCGGATAAGGCTGCCCAAACCTGTCATAAAAAATATGGCTTTTAAGACTTTAGATCTACCGTAATTCATCATCATCCTTGTGGGATTTAAATACTTACCATTGGTCCGATAGTCCAGTGGCATTATGCCAATACACAGGCATGTTGTCAAACTGATAGGTGTATATCAACAGCAAGATACATATCGAGTAGATTACCATCACCCACCACAGAGGACGCAGAATCAGTCTCCATGTAGCGATAGATATCTATCAACAAACAAAAACATTAAGACCATAAACAGTAGCTCCCTTTCAAAGTATTCCAAAATTTTACTTCTCAATTTAAAAGAGTGTCTCCCAAAGTTTAGCTACTTAAAAGTTTCGGAAAAGCTAGAAAACGTAGGTATTCTAGAATCTGGCAGTCCGATATTTTTCGAGCACCTGCCCTTGCAGGCGGCCATCTTGGCTTCAAATGTACGAAGTCTGGCCTAGGGAAGAGTATCAAATCTACTTAGAGGGTGGGGGACGGCTTGCCTCCCACCACCGCTACAAAACCCCGACGCCCATCCCCTCGATACGTTTGAAACCACCATGGCAGCCTGTATGCACTCGATCTTGACAATCTTATTGAAAAATGGGACTCTTAACAGTATGGAGTCCCCCACGCTTTCAAGCAATAACTAACTGAATTTGTGGAGACGATCTTTTAATTGAGAATCTATTTCAGGATACTTTGAAAGGGAGCTATTAGAGAGATTTTTAGTCACGTTTACGGCAAACGGCAAACGTGAATTTAAGATCCTCCAGAAATGTCGAGGAAAAGTTTGAGTGCCTCATTTAATTATGAGATGTTGTTAATTAAGGAAGAGAGACCACCCTTAAACACTCATACCGACTCCATTCCTGCAAAACTTTTGACTTATTTATTTCATTCTTTTGTTCTTCAAATTTAATGTTGTGTTTCACACTTTCGTTTCCTATATATGTATATATCGGTTCATAGTCACTTTCCTTTACATTTAATAATGGTGACATGTCGCCGAAACGTCATGTTTTAATAGCGTAGCTTTTAATCCTTACATAAATAACCAAATAAATAAGTTTTGTCAATAAGAATTGTTTTAGATTGCTTTTATTTGCTGTTTATTTTGAGAAATTATCAACTTTAATCTGACGTTTGCAGTTTGCTGTAGACGTGTGACTCTTAATCTCTCTATTGTTGTCCTCACTTGGTCTTTAAACAAAACAAAATTCGGAATTTTGGGGGAAAATTTGTGGCTATGCCTGGAGTCCTAGCTCTCTAACTTATCGACCACATTCAGGGTCAGTTCTGTTGTAGTTCCGATCAAACAGGACGAACGTATAAGATTCAACAAGTCACATATCAGTCACAAGATTAATAGGAATACATTTATGTACGATAAGGCCTGGACTACAGTGGAAAACCGCAGAACAATAACATTACAGACCAGTCTGTAAAATGATCAATTACCTGATAACAGATGAGTATAAACAGGAATATCGCCATGTATCCAATCTGATAAACTGACACCTCGTTCTGCAAACCGACCAGTAAGAACGCGCCACAGCAGAGTAGGATCCAGTACTTTGCGAGCACGGATTTCACCCACATCATGAGCGCTTTTGCGTCATCGGAGGCTTTAGGATCCAGGGCATCGCCTTCTTCATTAACAGCTAAATTGTGTTTAAATATTTTAAAAGACGCAAAACATTACGACAATGGCAATGATCAATAGTACAGTTTCAGTTTCAGTATCAGGTCCCAGTTGTTAGAGAGCTTGATAGCGCTAAACACCAGGGCCCAGTAGTTCAAAAGTGGATAACGCTATCATCCAGTGGATAACGCCATGGGTTTCCGATAGAGCTGTCCAGCGTTTGAACAACGGGGGCCAGATAAATAGCTGTCCAGTTGCATTATCCACTGTACAGAAATTCAAGGAGTGGATAGCGCTGAAAACCTTTGGAACCACTGGGACCAAGACCTTAGCTTATATTTAAAGTAGGAACGCAGAAAAAAGAAGAAAGAAGTAGCCGCAGTTTAAATGTTTCCCAGCGTAAATATATCTGTAATGAACACAATGGCAAAGTGCAAAGAAATTTCTCAAAACGACTAAACGAGAAACAATCGTTTTACGCAAACGTAGCAGTCATTCACCTTTAATTGCATGACAAGTACACAAAGTTGGATGTTCACTGGCGTTAAGAAAGTTATCGCTGGTTAGCTACGGTGTGATAGGGGACAGGGGGATGGGAGCCCAGGAGAATAGGGGGCGGAAGGGGTACGGGAGGCGGGAGGTATGGACCCCCCTGTATCTCGACTGTAGGTCATCCAATCCTTTGCATTACAATGTACGTCATTAGATGGTGGCGCCGTTCGCACACCACGAAATTAATTTGCAACTTAGGGCCTGTTTACATGGAGGTGGGGGACCCCAGGTAGGTGAGGTAACATGTAGCGGGTTACCCCACCAATCATGTAAACGTGATCAAATTAAAAGAAGAGATTGTATAGACAAGCGGGTTACCTCACCTACCTGGGGTTCCCCACCTCCAAATAAGAGAGTGATTAGCTGCATGTCAAAGAAAGGTTTTGGACATACTCATATTCAATTATTATAACAATTTGCACTAGTATACATTAACATTACATACGAAAATTTTTTTATGACTTATTTCACTTTAAATGTTTATACATTTTTAATTGTTTCACCAAAATCTTGTTAAGTTAGATCACTAATAACCATTAAAATCAGTTTAGGGTTCTAAGAAATTTGACCACTGAATTTACTGTTTTAATATTTCAAACAATCATAAATGAAACTTTTAAGATTTTAAAGTAATTCAAAAAAAATATTCAACCAACAAGCACTTCAATGTAAATGAAATAAGCAGTAAGATTTATTTTTAATACCTGAGGAAGACGATGTTCCCAAGGAGGCTTTTGTTTAAAGAGAAAGCACATATTTTAGCAAGTGTTAACAAGAACAAGATTTAAAATGTATTATTTTTTATCACAATCGCAAACTCCATTAGTCCATTTATGCGCTAACATAGTACGGGGATAAGACTTTTTTCGAAGCACTAAAATTCAACTTGATTGTGAAGCTCAAGGGACATAAACACAATAGACCACGAAGTTCAATTTTAATCCATCAAGACAAAGAGGAACAATGAATCAGGTATTATATTTTTAACAGCATGAAGCCGTACATGCGTTTTATCTCGGGAAAAGTACACTTAATTGGTAACTTATTTTTAAGACTTTTATTTATAAAACCAAACAGCTCTTTGTTTTTACATTTAGTAATGCAATTACGTTTAATGATAACAAATTAAGATTCTCTGATTTTAGTCAAACAAAACTGAAAACATATATGTACAGTGTGCATACATTGGATACTTACACATTTTCCTAAGCGCCTTCAAAAATGGATGTGCAAGATTTCTCAGTGGAAGCGATCCTTCATTTTCCCTTTCTCTTCTTTTCATTTTCTTCTCCCTGATATGCTGTCGTAATGTCACCCAGAATACCCACGTAAAGAGGGTCTATGAAAAATCACAGGATTACTTGAGTGTTACAAGGGTAGGTTGAGAGGCCTTTCTGTCAGTAGACTATATTAATAAGTACTCCATCATTTTCCTAAGGCATTAAAGAGAAAGGGAAATACGCGAGCGCGCGTGAAAATAACAACCCATTTTCTTTCCCTCCTGCGCGTTTCGCTTCTCCTGGCGCGCGTCAATTTTCCTACGCGTTCGTTCGTTTAACTATCCCTGTGGAAAATGAACAACTAGATGTAATCGTATTCTATTCGGCCAGTGGTCCTTTAGTCTGTTGGCTTAAATGTCTAACGTCAAGAAGCTAAGGTTGTCAGGAACGAACCTAAACATTATTTTCTTTTAGCAGAACATGGCACTTCTGTGTAGAAAAGTAGCCTACGTAGCAGTCCTTTTCCATTCTCTTTTAGACAAACGGGAGACGCGCAGGAGACACGAAGGAGACGCGTGAGGGCTGCTACACAGCCTGGTAAAAATGCGTTTGCATGACATTAATGACATACTATTAACTGCCGCTAGTTAGCCCACTCTACCCACCCTCCCCCTTCAAAGTTAAAGGTCCATCTACCCGTAAACAAAAAAAATACATCCGATTATAAGCCCCTCCCTCCAAATTCAAGACTTTTTGAAGCTTGATTAAACCTTAGTAAATACAAAATGTACTTTGATCAGCACTGCTATAGCGTGTTTCTAAAGCGTTTTTGTTTATTCTTGTTATAAGCCTCCTCGGACATAAGCCCCTCCTTTTATAAGCCCTCCAAAAACCCCTTACAAAGACGACATTTGAGCCCAGTAACTTACTTGAGCACCCAAGTGTAGACAGGGAAATTGCCATTTCTTCAGTCCCAGTTCAGCATAATCAAATGTTCCAGTGGGGTCCTGCAGTGGTAACTCATCATCAGTCAGTTGAAGGCCATAAACATACTGAACAAGAAGCAACAACTCAGCATAGATCACAAGTCCCGGCGAGGAGACCATACAGAACCACCGTGCGAATGGGGTGATCCAGATAAGACACGCCCAAAGGAGAAGAACAAATGTCAGCCATGAATGGTATGTAATACTCCAAGCCTGCAAGAAACAAAGTTCGTCAGGGTTTGAATATGGCTCAAGATTATTTCCAGCTTTTTTCACACTAGGGGGATCAAAACTACAACACTTTTTCATTTAACCCTTCAAGAAAAATGTCAAACAAATGCCTAATTACATATATTAGTGAATTTACTAAGGTCGTTTCTTTTACATTACAAGCAACATAGCAACATTACGGTAAAACCATAAAAATCTCTTACATAGTTTTAAAAGGTTACAATGAAAGACACGGCCACGATTTTTACTGTTAAATACTAAAATGGTATGGTAAAGTTTCCTTTTTTATGTACAGAGTTAATATGAATTCTGTCGCGATGTTTTGGAGTTACTAAAAGTTTTGGAAACCTCAATTCTATTACCGCATTATCAGGTTTAGTAAACCATGATGTTTTCAAGTCTTCTACACGAGGTCTAAGGTAAAAGCTGCTTTAATAACTGGAAACTTGGACTAAGTCCTGCGCTAGATGATCACTTCCTTAACCCAGCTTTAAACTTTGTTTCAATAATCGACCCAAAATTCTGAGTCTCGAACTCAATGTAACACAACTTTACCATCATTATAATGAGGGCTGCAATGTAGCTCTGCCTCATCAGGAACATCATAATGCTTCCCAGAGTTCCCTGCACACCTGGGTATTCATCTGGCTCACGGATTGGTTGAACAGGTTCCTCCGCAACAACATTCTCAGGGAGGCGTTCCAGGGTGTTGTAGTTTGTTTGGCCAGGTCCTGCCATCAGGGACTGCAGGTATACAAACAAGACAGACAATGAGTTAACCAGCAATTAATCTTCGCCAATTTATAAATTTGATGGAAAAATTATATATATGTACTTTATATACTTAGATCATGGGCCCACTGATATTAGAGAGCTTTAGATTCAAGGACAAGGACGACTATGAAGACGACATTTAATCTTAGGTTTCTTCACCTATTCTCTAAAAATAGACACGCCGAAAAGCATCATTGTCCTTTTTTTCACCACAAAAGTTAGTTCACTTATTTCTGTTGAAGGAGGTAACACCCTCTCCCGATCGCTAAATGATAAAATTCCTAACATTTGGTAATTTGTTTTCGCCACTACGACATTCTCTTTAAACTGGAAGAAGAATAATGATGGCTATCACATTTTCCAGCCAAAATGATGTAGAATTGGGAAAATCTCGCTCTCGTATTCGACCTCGTCTTAAAATCTAAAGCTCTCTATTAACACAAATACACGAGACTCTTAATTCAGTTTATTTAACAATTAATGAATGAGGCTGAGTATCTTATGAAGAATTATGGAGATCGAGGAGGGTGTTACGGCCGAGGTGGATAACACCCTCCGAGAATAATAATTATTATTCATTCAAAATATTTCCCCAATTCTGATTGGCTAAAAGCACACGCATAATTCACCATAACCAGCTACTGATGACCAAATTTGGAAGAATTTTACGTTTAATGAACCGATGACGTCAAAAGTGCAGCTATCTTGTAGGTTAATGCACCGTTAACCGAGAAGGCCTGGGGACGAGGTTGAGTTGTTTTGTTTGTGAAAACAAAAATGGCGGACATTTCACTTGTTTCAAGAATAAGAACTAGGCGAAATAATAGCTAAAGACATGGTAAGAACAGCAAGAAGACAACTCGAAGGACGACATGTGCTATTTGGAGAATATTTGCGGAGCTGAACAACCCTAAACGTGCACTATCGAAGATGTTCTAGCCACGTTTTTAAACTACGAATTATTTTGAATGAATAATAAACACTTATTGAATCATATGAAGAATTATGGAGATCGAGGAGGGCGTTATCCGTCGAAAAAAGCTCAAAAGAAACACACTTGAAAATAAAAATCACAATTTACTGGCTGACGCTTTTTGGGCTTTATAACACGTTTCTCTCTCATGAATGTTCATGGGGGAGGAACACTACAATATAGCCCTCTGAACGTCGCTGTGGGATGCTAAAATGTAAATGTACCTGTCTTTCTGACGTGTATGAAGGGGGCCATGTCCTTGGGTCCCACCAGTGAGTTTGATGACCACCATATGTAGGGATATTTTCCTGAGGCATTTTCAAAACATTAAAAAATAAATAAAAATAAATAGAATAATGCAAAGTTAATGTAATTGAACAAATTCTTCTTCCTGTTATTGGCTCAGTAAGTCCTTGCACACCTAACAAACATTTCTGTAGCTCACTTTAATTCTACGCAATGTCTGATACAATCTCAAGCAAACCACCACTGCACCAGCACTGGTATACTACAGAAGCAATAAAATCAACATCAACATCTTCACTGGGCACCAATGAATTCGCAAAAGCCATTTATGCGAAAAGAATGCACTTAAACTGTTGTCATTTCTTATTGACACTGTAAGACTTCTTCTGCCCAGTATTCTACAGACAGATGCTGCTGATAAAAATTCCTGTAATTTATTATTATTTAGGCCAGGTTGGTTCCTAACATGTCCAGTAGCACAGGGTGCAAAGAAAGTCAGTTTTACAGCCTGCCATTCGGGCAAGCTGTAGATAGCATGTACTAGCCCACAAGTCATTTCAACTAGCCCCAAAGCCCTTTTTGATTGGCAGGATTGATAACAATCCTTCTGTAATTTGAATTTCCCCCCAAAACAGCACTTGCCCATCGGGCAAGTTAAGAACAAAAAACACTAGCCCGATAGCAAAATCCTCTAGCCCCGGGCTGTCGGACACGACTTTCTTTGCACGCTGTAGCAGCTTTACAAAATCACAGAAGGGAAAGTACAATGTATTGTACCATACTAGAAACATGAATCAAACTAAATAAGGCAAGGTTCGGTGGACACAGAGTGCAGAGGGTAAAAAATGTGGAGTGTGAGAAATGAAGAGTGAGATGGGAAAAAAAAACAAAAAAAAATAATTAATAAAAAGCTTCTACGTTTGTAAATGCTCATATAACAGAATGCTATATTCTGTGAAAGCTGATTTGACTCAATTAGTCATCAGTTATTGTTCACTAAAACAATATTTAAGTGCAAGCAACCACCCAAAAATGTTTTTTTGCTAAACAAACTATCCTTATCATTTTTTTTACTCGTGCAAAAGTTTTTGACACAGCATCTTTCTTTTAGAAAAGGGATTTTTATGTCAAAAATGCATACAAAGAGGTTATCTACATGCACATGTAACCACAAAAAAGTTTTAAAATATCGTTACTATCCATCAAAGCAAAAGGTACAGTGTAGCATACATACATCAATGAAGTAAAATCTTGTTTCTGTTGCAAGCAGCCAGTAAAGTGCTAATAGAACACCAGGCGATGCGCACTGGGGCCAGTCTAAATATGGTCTTACATGAAGCACTAATGGAGCACTACAGTCAGTGTAAATAATTCCCACAAGACCAAATAACCTAAAAGAGGAAGATAGATAATGCATTTTAATTTAGTTATACAGCTAAAAATACAAAATGTACTTTTTTTCTAGTTAATAAGTAGTAGAGCTGAAATTTTGTGATTTTCTACAACAAGAAAGGATTTATTTATGCAAAGCTGTAGTAGAAGAGAGAAGACATCATGGTAACATTATACACAAGGTTTTATCCAGAATGGTAATGCCCATTTTAGGATCTGAAGTTGACGAAAATTCCTTTAATCCCATTTAATTTCATTTGAAAATATGCCAGGACAAAGAATTTTCAATGACCTGGCTAGAAGCTTAAGTATTATTACATGTATTCTCTCTCTGAGGGAAGACTGATCTGCTTATTATTATTCATTGCTGGAATTTTACAAGCCAATAATACATTGTATGGTCTTCTACATTTCAGTCTTGGCTGGGGGTAAAAAGGCCTTGATTGAGACAAGCTACATGCGAAAAACAACACTCCAAACTATTTCAAGCACAGCAAGAGCATATCATAGATCTTAAAACTCACCTGGCAAGTAAACTATCAGGAGGGAGTGAACTCTGAAAAAACTGGAATTGATACAAGTAGAATGTAATAACATGGATGCCAGAATAAACCATAAGAGCAAATCGTATGTAGGCAAAAGCTTTCTTTCGTCGCAGTCTAATAGCTTTGTGGCAAGCCCACATTGTCCCTAAAATCAGGAACATTATAAAGTATATGGCGGAAGCTAGCGATGGTAGCATTATTCCACCAACTAACAACATTACTGCAATGAAGTATGGCATGATGTTATCCCATGTGGATGAATCAGGTGATGCTCTGATGTGCTGTGGAGTATGTTGATGAAGTGGTGAGGAGCTGATTAAACCTCGGCAGCAAATGACACATGTTATTGATACTGCAATTACCACCACATCAGGTGCAATAATCCTGAAGATATCAAGAGCTGGAACACCATCAAATCTAAAGAAAAATAAAAATTAGAATAGATAGAGTGCTACATGTACATGTATAAGGTACCAAATTGCCTTGACTTCACAGTGTAGGCAACAGATAAAAACAGCTGTACACCAAGTAGTGACATGTTATAACCTACTAGATCTCCTAGTTCCCCACAATTATTGTTCGCATTATTCTGCATGTAATCGCGCTGCCATCATAACATTCACTTCTACATTATTACGTTATTGCTCTACGAAAGCTACATATATAATAGACAGAGGATATTACATGGCCATGCAGAGATACAAAATTTCTCTTTGAGTGTTGAAAAATATTTCACGAGTGAGCGCCGCGAACAAGTGAAATATTTTTTCAACATGAGAAGAGAAATTTCGTATCTCCAAGCGGCCATTTAATGTTCTATTTATTATATAAACACCAATGAAATACAAAACCATTTCACTCTTCTCTAATAGTTTTTTGGTGTGAAAGGCGCAATTTATTTTATGAAGCCATAGCAACAGTGATATTTTCACACATGTGAAGATATCAAGTTTTCGCACGAAAGCTCACCTGGTATTTCATCGGTGTTTATGTAATAAAACAAAAAATTGTAACTAAGGCCTGGTTCAAACATTTTGTGTACCGAACCTAATCCCTTTAATTAAGTACATAAAAAGATAGTCATTAATTGGACCGGGTTGTTGAAAACTGAGTTAAGATAACCCAGGGTTAGTGTGAAATTTGAATTTAGATATGGAAGCTTAAAAAGCAAATTCAGATTAATTCTTTTTTGTCTATGGTATGATGATTAGATGCTCTACAAAAAATAGAGAAGATTATGTGAGAAAATTCTTTGGGATAAAAGAAAAAGAAACCAGATTCAAATATAACTGCAGTTTAGCGCTAATCACCTTTCGAACAACTGGGCCTTGACATAATTAGGTCCAACATATCTAATTCGGGTCAACCCACCAATCACAAGGGAATTAACGACTGTGGAGGGACCTCATTTCAAACATCAAACTCTTCATGTGCCAAATCTTGTGCATAAATTACCATGTAATTTATTTTGACTCGTAAGCATGGTAGACTACAGAGTTGATTTTTATTAGTTTGACGTCTGAATCAATTCTCTAACTTATCTCACCTGGGTTGACCTAAATAGGTATTAAGTTCGGCACATAAAAGGTTCAAAGCAAGAAATGGCACTCAAGGTAAAAAACTGACAAAAAAAATCTGGTATCCAACAAGTGGAATCTTTAATACTCACCTGCTCAGGCCAATTTGCCGAGTCAGCCTTTCATAAGTGGAACCTATTAAGCAAATTATTGCTGATTAAATTTAAGACGTTGAGAGCAAGAGGTGTATATGTTGTGGTTCAGTTTTATCCTTGGTTTAAATCTTATTTCCCTCTGTTTTAAACTCATTATCATACATCACCATACCCAAAAACAAAAGGAATAATTATTATAATTGAACCAAGGATAAATTGAACCAACAACATATACATTGTAGTAAAGAGACAAAAATAACGCCTGTTATTGGTTCAATGACAAAAAAAATAGTATTAGCACTTTAATAATTAATTTTGCACTGAGAGGTACTACTGAGCTGTCACTTAGATAATTTCAAATTAATTCGTTCATATATTTATTGATTAGTACATGTATTGATGGTAGACAGAGAATTGAACTTCTAAGAAATCCTCACAGTTAGAAGAGAATTGTACAGAAGAGTAGTCTACATGTGTAATTTAATTTTTGGTTAATTAAAGTAGCTGGGGATCACATGTTTTTATGAGTACAGTTGCAGATGGGAGGAATCCCATCAACAATGACAGTCCCCCCGCCAACAATGACAGTCCCCCCGCCAAAAGTATGCAATTTTGCTACGTTTGTAACTTTTTGAAATTCATTTAATTTATCTTAAATGGCATCTAGTCCCATAATGAATAATTAAAAAAAAACAACTCATAATCAATATAACAAAAATATACCAAATCTGCAGACAAAGACAATGTGTGCAGCTATTTGGCTTTTGAAATCAGGGTTCATACAAAAAATTGCAACCATTTTTCAAGGACTTTTCAAGGAGTTTTCAAGGACCACATTAGATTTTCAAGGACAACCTACTAGGAATATAATTTCACAGATTGTACAAAAATGCATATTCCCAGTTTATTCTAACAAGACTTTAAGGCTTTAACTGTTTGCTTCACCAAATTCTCTACATTTTTCAGTTCACTTGTCTTAAACTGATAGTTAATTATTGCATAAAACATTGAGCACTTTATGTAAAAGACCTTTACATTCACTGAGCTACGATTTATATTCTGTCTTGGACAACCAAAAAGCATCAAAAAATTCTTTCCAGGCTACTGCATTCAAAGTTGAAGAAAATTCAAGCTCTTTTCAAGGACTTGCACAGAAATTTAAGGACTTTTCAAGGAAAAATGGAATTCAAGGACTTTTCAAGGACTTCCCCTAAAATTCAAGGACTTTTCAAGACTGTGCGAACCCTGGAAATAACATCATACATTGCAGTTGCTTTGAATGAATATTTCCCCAATTCTGATCGGCTAAAAGCACATGCATAATTCACCATAACCAGTTACTGATGACCAAATTTGGAAAAATTTTGTGTTTAACGAGGAAATGACGTCAAACATGCAGCCTTCTACAGGTTAATGCACCAATAACCGAGAAGACCTGGGGACGAGGTTGAGTTGTTTTCTTTGTGAAAACTAAAATGGGACACTTAATTTGCGTTGTTGGGCATTTTCTAATTCACACAGGTCCAACCCCTTCCCTCACCCCACAAACAATGTTGGACACGTGTATCCAGAATTTTTTTCCGAGTTTTAACCTTGTATAGGGTGGGGGGAGGGAGTACTGCAACAAAAATTTTGAAAAGAATGCACTGTTTTAAGAGGGAAGCAAGAAATGACAGAAAAATATGAATATTGCAGTACTGTCCCAAGGACTTTTGTCCAGAATTGTAGTTTTGTTTGAGAATTGCCTTGGCTACTAGCCCTCATACCAGACAAAAGAGAATTCTAGTTCTACCAAATAATGGATTTCACCTACAACATCTATATCCATGCAGCTTTTTGCATCTACTTGGAGTCAAGCTCTGTTGTGGCATTGGCCCTACCAGGTCAATGAGTCAATGAACCAATAACAATCAAAAAACGTATTTACCAAAACTAATCTAAACTTACAGTTTGGAAAGAAATGACCATATGGTGGAAGAGCTCCCAGAACAATCTGGAAAATAATCTGTGCCATTAAGGCAAACACTGATAAGCCCAACAAAGCCTTCTGGAAATGACTTGTGGAAGCCACAGCTGTAAAAAGATAAATAACAAACAAAATAATATGAACAAATACATGTATCATGGAAAATGATAATCTGCATCATGCACAAGCAGCCAAATACACCAAGCCAATAGAGCCCTTCTTTTGCTTCCTCCATATTGACATAATTGACTCTGCATGAATCTAGTAAGATCTTTGTTTAGCATATGCTCTGAATGTTGCTAGGATACATGAGCTTCATTCTATATATTGAGCTCTTCACTTTCCACGACTTTCCAAGACTCAATTTTTTCATGAACTTTCAAAGTTTTTCATGACCTTAGGTTTAACTGTGAACTGCAAAATTTTTCAAAACTTTTCTGGTTTTAGACCATTTTTTGACCGAGGTCAGATCACCAGAGATAAACTCTGGTGTGCTTTTTGCACTGTTTATTTACTTGCACCTATCTTACATTTTAGGTCCCCATGTGGGCTGCCTGTTTAACATTTTAGTTGCTCACGAGCAATTGTTGGAGCCTCTAGCGACCAGGTACCAATGAGAAGGTTAAGTTTAGCGACATTAGCAAAGACGCTTTTAAAACTATTATAAGAAAGCAATCAAAAGATTTACTTCAATTCTCTTTTAATAAGGAAGCAATAATGATTTCAAAATAAGAAGGATGATTTTGTTTACTTTTAGCACCTTAGCATTTATTTTACCAAATTCTTATTCATAAATCTTAGGAAAATAACTTTATTTATTTTTATTTTTAATTTTATTAGTTAGATGACTTCATCTTCTCGCAGGTCCACATCAGCCTTTGGCTGCCCTCATACGTAGACTAACCTGCATTATCAAATAAAGGATTGATCGATTGAGAGCACTTGAGCAAAGACCTAAGCATCTTCCCTTTGGTGATCATTCTTAGAGCCCTTATAAACTTTTCTCTGATGATGATTATGTATTAACATTCTTTGGAGAAAATTAATGTTGGCCACTCTTGGGACTTAAATGGTTAAAACAAACAATTAATTATCTAAATTGGTCTCTCGAATTTAAATCTAGACTAATTATTCATCTGAGAGATAACTCGTCTAGACGGTTCTCTAGTATACATGTTAATTCGGCCACTATTAATTCAATAATATAATTGTAAAACTCTCAAACCTCTTGACGGATTAGGTAAAAGAGGAATAGCCAGAAGACAACACAAATATATAAAAGAAAAGCCATTGAATCTGAAACAACAAGCTGAAAAGCAAACAAACGGAGAAACAATTTTTAAAAAATGTCAAGTAATAATAAATATCCAGTAAATTACGTCACCGATGGTTTGTTGGTGTACGTTGCCCCAAATTAAATTTCTTTCGACACTTGAAAGAAACATTGGGCCAAAACGTGTACTGATCACATTTCAAAATCTTCAGAAATTTACAACGTAGAAAGCGATTTACGATTAATGGCAAGTTATTTGTGTTACGTGCGTCCTAGCAGGTCGGTGAACTTTCAACTGATCATGAAAGGCGCGCAAACGTTACGCGCCAACCTTCCCAAAAAGTTCCTAAGTTTCACAAAATTAGGTGCTTTTAACGAAATGTAATCAATAAAATCCACCTTCAAAGCTGATTTTTAGATTGGTTTATAACAACGATACGATCAAAAATGTTTTTAGGTACGCTGTAGCCGGTGAAGGGCCAACGGTGCCACACTGGATACTGAAACAACACACCCACCTCCTAACAAGACTAGTGGAAGAATCCATCTGAATAAAAGCGTACAAACTAAGGGTGAAGACATCCTATTGAAGTCCAGCAAATGTTTCAGAACCAAGAAGATGAAAAGCTGGCGTTTTCCTCAGCGGAATAAATATGTCAATCTCCACTTTCTCAGCCCCCTTACCGGGGGACATGTCTAAACAGCTTCATAAAAACGTTATGAACGTACAACCAGAAAACGACAGACGTTTAAAATGGATACTATCTCCGCAAACGAAACTATCGAGCGAATTTCAACCACAAATTACGAAGACGAAACCAAAAAATACTCCAAAAAATCTCATTCAAGAGCAGTGAAAATATAATGAGCCCGCGATTTACCTTAGTATGGGTTTCATAGCAACTTTCCTTCATGTAAAGAATCCTTTTGTGTCAAATTGACTGACCCAGAGCAGAGATATACATATCATTCGTAACATAAAAATGGGAGATTTCCTGGTTAACCGGCTGATGACCAGGACTTTTTAGAGAATACTACGCCAATCTCTTCTCTTTCATTTAATTTGCTTGATTTTAACAAAGCACAGTAACTATAAGAAGGCAGACAATGCTAGTTGAGAGCGTGTTTAATAGGCGACATATTTATCATTATTATTATTTAGTTATTCTTATTTTACTGTAATATTTTATTCATTTGTTCTCTATACATAATGCCATATATTTTTAAAACTTAAAGACGGAACCCAATTTTTTAAACTCAATCATGTAATATTCTTGTGATGTTCAATTTTATTTGATTTATTTACTTTTTTTTTCTTCCTACACACTAACATTATATTTTTAGCTTGCAAATTTTTATGAAATTACGTCATTTTTTTACTTTTTAGGAGCGAGACCCTATTCTATATCTAACATCGATATAAGGAGCCCCTGATAAGCGCGATTATACTCATTAGCTGTCTTCTCATTGGCTAAGAGCCTACAGCTAATTTTGGAAACCAGTGCAACCTACAGATAAGTTAGTCATCTGCTAGCAGATAACTGACTTCTATGTAGGTTGCACGCGAAATGTATGGTTTCCAATAGCAATATCAGTAGACCAATTCCGATGTATTCACTTCATTTTTGAGCCTCAAGATGATTTCTTTTGTTTTATTCCTCCAAGCCTCCGAGCCAAGTGTGAACTTTAATATCTCGAAAATGGTCTATTCAGGTTTCTTACGATGTAGACTTTCTCAAAGCCCGTTTCCGGTTTCGGCTGGTTAGGTGGTGACTTACGTCGCGCGCTTTCTCTCGCGAGCGTACCTCGCGTCTTTGGCGCTCACGCAGTCGACTAGTTAAGTCTACTTGCGACGGTGTGTTTGTCACTATTTTCTTCAAAACAATCTATATAATAAAACAATTATTACATTCGGTTTTTGTGATATCCTGAATAATCAAGGTCTCGGTGAGTGTTATCAGCCCCAGCCTTCGTCTCGGCTAATAATATTCACCTCGACCTTGATTATTCCGGATATCATAAAAACCTCATCCGATAATTGTATATAATTTTTTCATCGCCTGCAATGCACTCAGTGAGGTATCTGGATCCTCACGGGTGGCCTTACGGCCAGTTTAGGGGCGAATGGATAAGTCATTGAACTGAAGCATATGCCCCAGGGGATACTCCCTATAAAGGCCAAAACGGGGAGACTCTTTCTTGAAAAGAGAGCCTTTTTAGGCTTCTGCTATGTGAAAGGGTATGGATTTCATAGGTCGTTTCTAGACTACAAGTAGTCCCCCATTTCTCGATCAGGGATAGTAGAGCGAGCGAAACGCAAGCGCGCGTGAAAATCACCCTACGCGAGAAAAGGCCGCTCTACCATCCCTGAGGAAAAATGGGGGACTACTCGCAGTCTAGTCGTTTTGGTCTGTAGAAAAATGGGTGGCTAAAAGACACATTTTAAGGCTGTGAAAGAGACAAAGAAATTTCCTGGATTGATGACGGTGCATTTACAGCAGTTAAAAGAGACAAAGTGATCTAAACTAGGTACAGACCTTTTCCCCTTTCTTTCTTCCCCCTCCCCTCCTCCCCCAGGAACGTAGACCACACGAACGTAAAAACTAATTGATACTATTTTTCATCTTTTTTTCCCTCGATGGTCTTTTTGTTTCTATTCCATCTCCGAAAGCGCACAAATGATTTAGCTTTAGACTGAACTTTAAGAGGTCAGTTCCTTCTAAATATAACGATGTTATTGTTAATGTAATCACTCAATTGTTTTATAAATCGGCACTGATTATTTCAAAACTAGGCTAACAAATGAATTTGCTTTCCATAAGTACTTCAGTAAAGAAGGATTATCATAAACTCGAAGCCGGGAAGTCGCATCAAAACTTCATATAGCAACACGAGAAAAAAAGAATAATTAAACCCATAAAAATAACAAAGACTTTGATCACTTTGACTGCCAATTCTTGTTTTCGCTAAGCTAGCGCTCGCAAGGTGCCTCTCTGTCCTCTATTCACCCAAGGAAAACTTTCTTGAGGGACTTCACACCAAGAAACATGCACAAAGGTTCCCAGCCTTGTTTCACGTTGTACACCAACAGCCGCTCCTTTGGAATGACGGTCTGCACTCGTTCATTATACTCGCGATATTTTTTCCTGAACAGAACGGTAGATTCTGTTTGTAAGCTGCCAACCGCTACAACATTCGTGCAATCTAACAATGCATAATATTTGCGGTGAGACCAGTTCCTCATCAACCATTTAACCAGGAATCCAGCATTTAAATACATATCCACATCATTCTCTCTGACTTGGCTTCTCAGTCAGACATCCTCGCTGTCTCGTACATTTAGAATAACCTTGGTGTCTGGAAAAGCCTGTAAGATTTCTTCTTACCAAAAACCCGCTGGATGATCGGTGACAGCATCAACATCTTTATACATGGAAGCGAAGTCAGGAGTTTTACCTTTCAAGTAGATATCAAGCCATTCATCGACATGGATCGTTACGTGTTCTTTCCAATCGTAGACTTTAAAACCCAGTATCTCTAAAGCCTTTACCATAGATGTAGTTCCCGTTTTTGACAGTCCTGCACATATAATTTTCATGCTTGAAAGGTTACCTGTTAAAACGGAACATGCACAAATGATTTATTATCTTAAATGCAAAGAAGATCATTGCTGTTAAAGACGCAACTGTTGCAGCTGCGAAAAGAAAACCTGAAACTGAAATTCCTGCTTGTAGGAATTCGAGCGCTATAACCAACTGAACTCTAGGGAGCTACCTAACAGGGAGCTGGTCATAATTCAACTAGCTGATTCGCAATATACCCCGGAAAGATTAAAATAAGATAATGAGTGTATGAAATTTATACATTCGTCCCTCATTTTTTTTTTTTTTTTTTTTTTTGGATCGGCTAAACTTAATTATTGACACGATCTTCTTGCACACGTTTTTGAAAAGTCTAGTAAGAGGGTCTGGATGGGGTTAACTGACAACTGACAAATGGCGAAAAATTTTCATTGAAAACTGACAAATCGCCTTAAATTTAACCGACAACTGACATTTGCCTTGGGTTTTACTGTCAACTGACAAAGGACCTGATTGTCCCTTATTTTCCACAAAACCCGTTTTTAAGGCCTTTTAATAGTATTGTTCCACTGTTTCCGTCAGGCAATGTGACCAAATGTACGTTTATATGGATAGTCTTAGCAGTAGGACGCTTAAGTGTCAAATTTCCTTAATGATCTACCGTAGAACCCATCACGTGTCATGGATCATCCGTTGGAAATGGCCTCTGATCTCAAATTTACCCTCCTCTGAGAACGCGCCAACATACACGTTTGCTTCTTAATGAAGGCGTTGTAAAAGCAATTGTAAATTTTTGCCCAGATGATTTAGATACGGTCTTTCTTGTCTTTCTCAGGATCTACGTCGCAATATTCTTAAGTTATAAATTTGATTGGCTTAATGGTTGGAAATGTTGGACCCTGGCCAGCAAAAACGTTTGTGTGGACGAGAGTAACACAAGACTTGAGAAATGGAGGGCCAGTTGAAATGCTTTCGAAGGCAAAACCGATAAAAATTAAGGTACAAATGATTGAATCAGTTTTCGCTTTTAATGTTTAATTTACATTATATGTTCCTTTTTACAGTGTTCTTACCAGACCGCAGCATTGCAGCATTGCCTAGCTCACTCTTTTGGGAAATGCCGCACTATATAGCCGAAGGGGTCCCAAGGGCGCAAAGAAGGAAAACAAACAAAGAAAAACAAGACGCTGAGGGAACTTTCTTTCCAGCATGCTTTATACCTTGTACGAGTCGTTCAACGTATTGCGTGCCTATTGCAACTTATCGATTACTCTATTTGGGCGACGCCCAAGTAAAAAGAAACATACGTAAACATTAATTTTTTTATTGGTTATGGCGTCTTTAGAAAACACCCCATCAGCGGCGTCCATAAAATAACAATTTCTGCGCATGCTCATGTGTGAAATGATCCATTCTAAAGCTCCGCCATCACTCATATACTGTGACCCGCTTTTCTCCCTCGTGACCCCCTTTTAGCTTCTTAATCGGTCCTGTGGACCCCAGTGTAGAAAACCCTGGTAAGAACACTGCTTTTTAGCTAAATTTCGGATCAAAAATGAACAAATAAGTTTCATAGTTAATTTTTAATATTCATTTAACTGACAACTGATAAAAGGCCGAAAATTTAACTGACAAATGACAAATGGCCAACATTTTAACTGACAACTGACATTTGCACTCCCCCCCCCCTCCCCATCCAGACCCTCTAGTAAAAGTGAAACTTCTATAGAGTGAAAAATGCATTTGAAGAGCACTTCGTTTCACGATAGATGCATGACAACTGAATATCAAGATTGTCCAGGTTTTACTGTTGTACTTTTTTAACTGTATTTCTTACATTAATCATAACTATAACAAAATTTCTCAAATTGATTGGCTATGAACTGTCCTGATTTCAACACTTATTGGACTCCACTCAGTCCTACTGCTATTATATACGCGCATTAGTGAATTAGTTTTAAGAAAAGCGTGCTCTTTGAGAGTATATGACACCTCTTGCCAAAAGTTCGCTTTGAAATTGGAAAGTAATAAACGTGGGAATCAGCAGATTCTTTAACATAAATCAAATCCAGTGGAACATCTCCTTTGGGACATCTCTATTCAAAGGACACCCCAATTCAAGGTACATAAAATTTGGTCCCTGGAAAACGTTCAGATAAGCTATGTTTCTGTTACCTCCGTTGAAGGGACACCTCGATTCGATAGAAAGGAACACGTTTTCTAGGTCCCGAAACCTGGGTATATTTTAACCTCCATTATTTCAGGGGACACCTCAGCACTCAAATAGTGACTGGCCACAAAGAGGGCTGATATCTTGAGGTGTACCCTAGTCGCAATGATGGCAGTTTTTACTTAAACTGAACTAACCCACTTAAATCGATGTAATGCCGTTGCGTGAATTCAAAATATAATATGTGGCAGAGTTAAGTTAATGATCATTTTTTTATGTATGTTGTATTTGATGATGATTATTAACAAACCCCAGCCCAACATCTCGATTCAGGGGACACCTCGATTCAAGGGACACTATAAAGCCTCCCAAGGGTGTCCCCTGAATAAAGGTTCCACTGTAGTATTAAAGAAGCCTTGACTGTTCTTTGTCAATCACTCGCCTTCGACTCGTGATTTACAAGCTTTACTCGTGTTCTCCCAACATCCCAAGTGGGTTATCACACCGGTAAACCCATAGAAAGTGTGGTCTATTGGTTTTATAAAATAACTTTAAGTAAAACTATGAGTTTTATCGCACAATAAAGCATAGGTTTTTAACCAATCAGAACTTGCCTACTATCTCAGTTATTTTATAAATATCATTTTCTAGTTGCTGTGCTCTGACTCCGTGTGACTGAGTTATCACACCGGTAAACCCATAGAAAGTGCGGCCTATTGCTGCTTAAATGATAGTCGCGCCAAGTGGCTGGCCTTGCTGAAAAAATGAATATTTATATATATAATAGTTTAAGGTCAATCAAGAAATAAACCCGTAATCGCGCATAAAAAAAAAGAAAAACAAAGCAAGGGCTGTGTACATAATCAGCTGTAAAAAAGTACACCCGAACACCGACTTGTATTTGCAATTCATAATGGATTGGTCTGAAATACTGATAAGGGTTAAACACTGACCTTGCTGATTGGGGTTAAGGCGAGATGTGAATAATGATTTGGTTTAAGCACTGACTCGAAACGGTTAGCTTCGTATTTAGCCGTTAGGGTTGTTGATTAATAGCCTCAAATCAAACTCTTCATTGGCAGCTCTTCCTCAGTGTTCTAGTGGTTTGGCTAGGCTGCAGACCCTACGCTCTGAATTCGAGTCCCACTCATGCAACAATCCTTTAAGGCCGATACACACAAGGGCTTTTGCTCCCGGAACATGCTCCAGGGTCACGCTCCGGGAGCAGAGCTCCTTACTTCAGCCTCGGGAGCAGAATTTTTACCCCGCAAAATTCTCCACGATATTTAACCGGTTAAATATTTGGGAGCAAGCTCCCGGGGCAAATTGAGCGAACTTGAAAACGCTCCCTCGTGTGTACTGACACGTGCAAAATGACACTGGAGCATGCTCCGGGAGCAAAACCCCTCATGTGTATCGGCCTTTACTCCTTCGTATTGAATATTTGATGTGCACAAATTTCAAGAGACCGCTATTTAGACGATAAAATGCATTACTGCTAAAAACGGAACGAAACTAACCCATTAAATAGGCCATATTCCTTCGAAGCCTGAACTATGTTAGCCGACGGGACGAAATTAACTTTTTCCCTGTCCACAGCCTTATGCTGTCTTTCCTCGATGTTACATTTTATAACCAATTTACTAATTAACATACTTTACGAAATAAAATGATTACTCGGATGGAAGCTACTTCGACTTAGTTTATTAACTACTATTAATTTGTATTAGTTTTCCATACATAAGAGTTTTTCAAGTTAACGCTTAATAAAGTCCTTCTATTTTGTCGGCACTTGCATCCCAAGACACTTTCTAAGTTTTAAATTAAAAGCATGAAATTTCGAAGAACAATTCGTTTGACTTGAGGCCGACGACCAAATAGGAGTTAATGTTAACGATATAAAGATCTTTATGGGGAAGACGGTCACCGTAGAAATGAGCAACAGGTGACAGGTTTCTACAATGACATTCAATATTTAGGTCACTGAATTCTTTTAGGTGATTCTGGTAAGTCAGAAGCAATTAATGCAATCCGAAAAAGACGTTGGATAGCGTACTTACCTGTACAAGCCACAGAAAGTGCAAGGTTCTTTCAATTCTTTACTCCGACAAAAACAAAATCAGTGCCGTAGCCAGACCAAACGGCCAACCGAGGCAGGCGGGAGTTGCTGGGGGGTTCGGGGCACGCCCCCGAGAAATTTTGAACTTTAGTCTCTCGGAAATGCGATTTGCAGCGTTTTCTGGGCCTTTCGATAACTTTTTTTCGAGTTAATTTAAGTGGAATTTAAAAAGCAATAATCAGAAACAAGCTACATAATCTGGGTGACCGTTAACCTCGCCAATGGTTTTGATCAGTATTTGTTCAAAAAAAATTTGAGTTAACGTACGTAGCCCCTTGAGATCGATGACATGGTAATTTTTTCATAGTATATTGACTGAATTGCTGAATTCTTTGTAATATCATGATGCGTTAAAAATATCCGATGATCGCTTATGTAAAATAAAAATGATCGGCGAAATTCGTCAAAATTTTACCGAGGCGAGTGCCTCGGTTGGCCTCATACTGGCTACGGCGCTGAAAATGATAGATTATGCCGCACCCCGATCTTCGTGACAGTCAATCTTGTTTTAATTATCTCTAGCTCATCATATAATATAGCTCATTCTATAAAGGTTGCTTTAGGCATTGTAAATTGCGCATTGCAAAGCTATTGTTAAGTGGTCGCTCAAGCAAATCACTGCGGTGGGTTAAGTATGTAAAAATGCCCATGCAATTGTCATTTTTAAAATACCCAGTGCAATATTTATCAAATTACGTACTAAATCTTTATCCAAAGGATAACGAAAT